GGTTTTTTGTTAGGACTTCATCGGAGCCTAACCTCCGATGGATTCTGATAGTGATATAAAAGCTGACTAGCTCGAGTTTCCAATTCCTTATTTTCTCAAAATACTATAGTCCCTCACACATTCCCCAAACTGATATCAGATCAAATCTAAAATAGTCACAAGTGTGCATCAATTATTATCCATGAAGGCCCCACATGTCTTTTAATTTCCCCTTTCATTAAAATCCAGGATAATTTGATTAATCATTTCTAAGTATACGCACATTGGGAATTTCGGTACCTGTTCTTTCCTCAATTTGTGACGTCATTGTGACATCACGATCTTGGACACTCACCAACTATCCAGAATAAAGAGCTAAATACAGTTTCCGTAAATCGTCTGCTTTTTATGTAAAGATTGGGTTGGCATCATTTCGGTAAAGGGAACATGTAATGAATAATGACTTTACTCGTGATCTGGCACGAGACACGGAACTTGATATCTTTTTTTGTCAGCTTGCCTATATTTGGTCTAAAAGGTGAAGAAAATAGGGTGTAATTCCGATTTCTTTGTCGGCGTTATTTTCTCGTCTTCCGACTGTCAACAAGAGACATTTCCTTCCTTATGTTGCATTATTTAAAAAGGTACGAACTTCAAACATTGAACTTCATACACCCCATTTCAGAATCCTTTCAAAGTTGAGACGAAATTTTTTTCCCTGCGGCCCAGGACACCGGTAACTGAAAATGACCCTCGTATAGCATAACAACATTATAACGATATAAAAATGTTTTCATAGAAGTATGTGGCACAAATCGCATTCTAGACGATAGATTCCAGATAACATTTGTTACCATAAAATACAATTTTATAGCATGCGGGTGGTGTTTGAAGCACTCTGTCTGTTCGAATTACTAAGAAAAAATGTTACTGTATCAAACAGGCGGCCTCGCCCAATAATTATTGACTCATAACCTCTTCCTCTCGACTCTCGCCACAAATTGAAGATTCCTTCACGCTGCCGCTCCTCTTAATTCTTAAACCCCTTGTTATTCTACAGGCCCAAACTTAGATAGATCTTACACATAGATTGTGCCTTAATATCTGCAAAAGGTATCAACGATAGGTAGTATATAATCACAAATTATCACATGAACCAAACTATATTTTAGAACAAAATGATGACAAACAAAAAGCCAGATAACATTTACCAATTGTGTTAAACAACACAAGTAATGATCATTCGAGCATCTCCCGTTCATTTTGAATTGTATTTGGAAAAGGTGCCACCCCATACCATGCACTTGAACACCTGTTCCCTCCCTCCAAAGAGCATCTGCCCCCTAAAGAAACAGATATTAACCCTTTCATATTTTTCGTTAAGCTAGGCTTTGAGGCCCGCGTTATCTATTGAGTGTGAATTTCTTATATTTAAAGGAAACAATACAAAAAGATCGAAAAAGGGGTTTTGGCTTAGCTGCCTAGGTTGTGGTTTTTAAAGTTTGACGGATATAAACAGGATTTAAGCCCCCTTTCCAACTTGATCTAAGACGACCTTAAACATCATATGAAGAGAGTGGGAAAAGGGTATCATTTTTAATGATGGCAGGAGGGAATAAAGGAAGAAAAAATTGATGAAGGACACAATATACGACATAGAAGGTTGCTAACATGATTGAAAGACAAGAAGCTGAATGAGAGAAGGCTAAGATCCTAGGATTACCACCCCCCTCGATCCTCTCGGGGAGTAAGAATGACTACATTTCGACAATCTGGTAAAATTTTAATTGGTTTAATGCGAAAGAAGAAAAGAAACCTCGGAAATATGGGTTAATGAAAAAATGCGCATTGATATCGTCCTAGGAATAAAGCATTCACCTGTTCAAGAGGTAGTTTTATGCGACCAGGGATGATGCCTACCTAATACAGGTTTGCTTGATGGTGGATGACATTTGATTATTGGTGATGTTGACAGAAAGTTCCAATAGAAACAGCAATCAGAAGGGAATTAGGAAAGAATTACAACTAACCGATAGAACGTCAATCATCATCATCATCCGAGCCCTTTCAGTGACAAATCTATTCATTTTTATTCTTCGACTCTGGAGGTATACAGGTAAATGGGGGATAAAAGAGTCTTTCGCTTAGGGAGGGTAAAACTAACCCCGCAGTGGGCCACACACGGGTGAGAGTTGCCGATATATGATACGCTGCGCATTAAAAATCGTATTTTTTCGAGAAACAACCATAAATATCGCCCAAGGGTATGCCCTGCTTGACCTTGACTTCAGATATTTGGAATAAAAACAATAGGAGAGTAAGAGTAAGAGACAGAGAGAGAGAGAGAGAGAGAGTGAAAGAGAGAGAGAGAGAGAGGAAGAGAGAGAGAGAGAGAGAGAGAGAGAGAGGGAGAGAGAGAGGAGGGGGGGGGGGGAGAGAGAGAGAGAGAGAAATATCGAAGTATTAAGAAAGGAGCGAGAAATGGGAGAGATGGACAGATAAATGGAGAGAGAAGGGGGTAGAAAGAGAGAGGGGGAGAGAGAGAGAGGGAGAGAGATGGAGATTGAGATGGAGGGAGAAAGCATCATCGCAGAAGAATGCAGAGAATGTGGCATGTTTATGAAATAAGTCGGACATAGGAATTGGGAAGTCAGGCAAAAATGGGAAAATACTTCATACCCGGCGGTATGAATTTTTTGAGAAAGTACGAATGTTACCAGGCTATTTGTGACCTTTCAAGCATAGGGGTTCTGGCAATGAGAGAGTACATGTATAATAAACACGTACAACTATATAAGAGCGAGTACTGTATCACTGTTTCTCATCACCCTGCAGAATAATCCATTTAAAGTACTGGTCATTTGAAAATTGATGTCGAATTCAAACGATCCCTCAAGCATGTTATCTTTATGCACAGTTCATTCAACTTTGTTCCTCCTCCTCTCTCATTTGGTTCTTACTTATCTTAGGAAAACCAAAATACATTGTTTGTAATCTAGGTAAGAGATGGAATATCATCACTTCACATTCAATTAAAAACAAGAGGCTACAGTGGACATAAGTGCAATATTCCAGAGCTTAAATATTTGGGAAAACTCGTTGAACGTGAGCCTCAAACGGATGCTAACTCATTACACGCCCTCTTTTGCACCCAAGGTTTCCTCCGATCAATCTATTAGTAACAGTCACGTGATGTGTCACATCACCTTCACCCTCATATCACAAAGCATGTGCACCGCTCACCAGGTTAACATTCACTACCATCCATCATTCTGATGACACATTTAGTTTCTCCCCCCCCCCCCCCAATCGAAAATCCAACCCCTCTCCTACCCTATTATAAACTCATCACGTTATATTATCTGTTATTTACCGTAACCTTCTGCTAGCAATGGCATTAATGATACCTATTTCATCTCCTCTCCATTTCATTTCCGGTGAAATTCAACGAAGCATTTCCTGCCCTCATATGCTTCTACTACCATTGATGCATCTCTCTACCCCCTGGTATGGTATTAAACGGATATTTTCAGCTTTAATTCTGTCTTGACGATTGATTTGAGTCTGTTCATATTACCGACTGAAATTACTGGAAAGAATGGTTTTATACTTAAACGTAGAGAATGATAGCTTTCGCTCTTCACACCCAACGATCTCTACCAATTGATATTATTATGATAATATTCATCACAAAGCTGCATGCAGGTGAGAAATGTTGTAAATGAAAAGCTACATTAAAATTGGTATTCGATATTCGCATTTGGGTCTTGCTTAAATTTGTATATGATATTTTATTCTGGCTGAAATAAGCTGGAAATTTGACACAGTTTTGACAAACAGCGTCTGGCGCAAACTGTATTAAGGTCATATATAATGGCTCAACCAACTCCATCTCAATCAAAACACATTGATCTGTTCACCAGATAGAAGAGGCATTCAATGTCTGGACCGATAAAGACCAAGTCCACTGGACAAATGCGGCGAAAACTATCTTGATATCTAATCGAAAATGACGCTGGTTGCAGATAGATGTTGTGTACGGTCGGTCGGTGGGGCGGATCATGAGTTTTCCATTCCTCTTCGAAAGATCTCTTCATACACGCAAAGAAGGCATTCTAGTTCACCCTCATCAAAATGAAATTAATCGTTTAGGACCGCTGCCCCTGAAACCCGCTGCGAACCCTTCACCCTCCGTTCATGAAGAAGGTTTGCAGACAGGTAAAATAACAGTTCCAAACAACGACTGTTTTTGTTAAGAAAAACCAGGAAAAGGGCACCAAATAGTTAGAAACAGTGGTAAAATATGAATATAATTAACGACAAAGGAAGACAAATAGGGGTATGACGGGGAAAAGGTGGGGTGGTTGGGATGGGTGGGTTATCAATTAAATTCAGGCGCTATGGATTGGCCGATGTGATGCGTTCGTGTGGCGTTGCAAAGGAGAGTTATTAGATAGACACAGAGAGATAGAAGGAGGAGGGGAAGAGAGAGAGAGAGAGAGAGAGAGAGAGAGAGAGAGAGAGAGAGAGAGAGAGAGAGAGAGGGGGAGGGGGTAGGGGGGGGGGGTAGAGACTGACAGATCGGGAAACAGCGGATTAAATACCCAATGACCAAAATAATATACATGTAGGTAATTTTAACTAAGAAAGTTACAGTTGGCCTTGCAATACACCGATTGTAATAATTCCTGATGTCTAAATCAAACAATAATCCTCGGTAAATTTGCATTAGTCCACCAAAGTAGAACAATAATTTCCTCTTGAAATCGAGTCCTATCAATATCATGCCAATAGATTGAACTTGTATGAAACAGACCAGCAGACGGACTTGCCCTAGATTAGGCACATTCATATCGTCTTTCTATAGAATCAAGGTATGAATACATTGGCCACAAACAAAAAGTTGCAATGCTCCCACCAAAAAGCTAAGGAATATAATTGTCATTGTCCCGGAAGGAATGCAGCTCTCTCTCGCGAGAACTTTAGTAAAACTTTTTTTCCCTTTTACAAAGTTAACTCACCTTGCGCACGTTGGGCTTGAGATAGCGTCGCTAACATTGCAGTTAGCGCAATGGTGAGATAGAATATAACACCCATCTTTGAATCCTAGAAATCTTCCACAGGGCTGGAGTAAAACAAATATGGTTCCGCAGAAAACAAAAAATAAAAATTGAGATGAAAATCGCCGGCTTGACTGCACAGGCTGGACGTCAAAGTGCGAATGTATGAGAATGCCTTATTCTGTCTACACTTCCGTTCAAAAGATCGCCTGCTCAAAATTCGTTACCCCTCTCTGCTACTGGATCGCTGCGCATAACACGCATAAATCTTACACTGAGATAATCAACTCCGTATGTGAATCACCGGCGTATGACGACATTTGACCCGGGTCATTAGCATATCATTAAAGCGACACGGGCCAATCCGTGACGAGTGAGAAAAGTTTCTTGCGTTTTGATTGGATGAAGTGACACATCAATCACTCGGCATATGAATCATTAGAACAGGTTGAGGGGCGTGGCCTTGGGGAGGAAGTTAACAATTTTCGATCAAGACGAAGTTGTAGAGAAAGAGGGGAGAAAGTGTCCTTCGTATCTTCGAATAAAAACACTGATAAATTGAAATGAATTTTTAAAATACAATTCAAGTTCCCGGTATTAGTTGACACATGTTAGGAGCCCAATTAATGGGGGGTTTTAGCTTCCTAAAATATCTGAATTGACGTAATTGTTTGGCTCTCTATTCCTAGGTTCCATTTAGTTTCGATCGACAAAAGTGCTGTCGATGAAATATAATATATATTTTTTTATAGAACTTCCTAATTCTAATGTTACTGAATGTGAGGAAGATTATTTATTGAACACTAGGCAATCAGCTAGCATAATCGCTTTCATATCAGGTTTCCCGTTTTTTAAAGCTAGGTCTATGCGAAAAGTAAACTTAATCATGCGAATTATGTATTGAATCGAGTTGCATAATATTTGTCGGGAAAAACACGTAACTAACAAAGTTCGTTCTTGTTGTCAGATCCAAGTTGTAAAATATCCATAAAAAATAATCAGATACTCACATTAATCTAATCAATATGAATATTAAAGATTTATTTTAGTTTTCAGATCACAATGATGCAGTAATATTATGAACATTTTTTACTTTCCAGCATCCAACTCTTTAGCCAATTTTAAGGAAAAATATATAGGGAGGAGACAGTTTGAAATGTTTATTCTAAAATTCGATCATGATCAATGCAAACCGACATAATATTTATGGTATGGTATGGTATTTCTTTCATTCTTCATAAAAACATATACAATACATACAGAGGTCAAAACAACATTCATAACTTCAAATAAAAAATGATTAATTGATAGAATTGTGACGTCAACAATCTATTGTGTGATGGTAAGCAATATACTATACACGCCATACGCGACCCTCAGGCTTAATTGCAACCATCAATAAGGCATTAGATGTTTCACCTGTTTTTACACATCTATAAATACATTTAGAAATACCAAGGCCACTGGTAGTGACTTAACATTTACATGTAAACGGTTTCTAAGTACGAGTGAGATGGGCAAATTACATACATATATTAGCCTGTCTGTGTTTTGTGATACAGTTATTAAGAGGCTTAATAGAAAGAAATTGAATGTGTGCCCATGAATATTTTATGAAATTATGAAATTCATTTGGTCAATTACACTGACATTGCATTGCTAGCAAAACTTAACTGTGTGTTATTAGTACCGCTATATTTACTGTTATTATCATTCTTATTGCTACCTATGATATAAACTATAATTATCTTAAATCGTATAACATCGTCATCATAGTCATCATTACGACAAGCAATAGTGATTTCATCTTAAGCTCAAGCTCCTTTAGAGCCCCGCCCCCCCCCCCAAAAAAATAGTTATATAGTTACAAAATCTGTAATAAGGAATCAACTAATAGATAATTACATCGTCATCCAGAATATCTAAAGCTCTCGAACATACAAACATTTTGTTAACAGTTTAATTTCATTCACATTAAGAATTGTCTTATTAAGGGCAAAATTGTTAGGACCTTAGAACATAATTTTGAAATACTGTTCCTGTTTTCGACACTAGTTTAACATAAAGCCATGAAAGTGACATTAATGGAGGCAATATAAAGATTGTGAAATATAATCAACTAATTTGTTTTAATTTTAATTTTTATTTCTTTATCGTTCATCTTATACTTGTTTTCCTTTCTTCAGAGTGACATACCACTTGTCATTTGCTGTTACTGTATACTCCAGCAACAGTGTTTAGTATAGTCGGTATGTTGCATTTCCCCCTTATTCAGGTACGGAAAGGGCGAATTACCACCGACAAACTTCTTCCGATGACGTATATCATATCACGTAGAACAGCTTTGTAATTACGCATTAATTATTTCGTCACTAGACATCATCTCAAGCAGGTAATTGGATTTGAAAGGTTGAAATGAACTTTAATAAAGATATGAAAAAGGAGACGCATCTCTCAAAAATAGCAGAGCAGGACATGTAGTACATGTATGTTGACTTGAAATGTGCAACCTAAACGGTTACACAATAGCAACATCCCTACCCCGTGGCCTTAAATTTACCCCCCCCCTCTCTCTCTCTCTCTCTCTCTCTCCCCCCCCCCCTCTCTCTCTCTCTCTTTCTTTTTCTTCTCTCTCTCCCTCCCTCACTCTCCCTCTCTCTAAGTTCCCGTGCTGCTAATATTTTATGAAATCATTCTTTAGGGTGCAAGGTTTAAAGAGGAAGGTGAGTTTTGTTAGAGATGAAAAACAATATATGAGTAAAATATCTCCTGAAAATGATTGCTCTTGAAATACACACACATCCCAATCCAAAATAATTCGAAATCATTTAAACCAAAGTTTGAAACACACAAACCTGTCTGTGAGTATAGTGCTTGTCAGTGTATGCATATCCACAACAAATTAAGTCGTTTTCGATAAAGTAATAACGATTTCGATCAAGTCGATATTATATTATGTTCAATTGATTTCAAAACCTCACAATGAATTACTGGTGCATTTTCTTCTTCTAATATCTTCTGGTTGTTGTTTTTTCTTCAAAATTAAATCACATGATCAGAACTAAATTTCTTTAAAATGTATTTCTTAACTCTTTCTTGGCTGTTTACAACTGTTGCTGTTCCTGATGTTGTGCACTGCTGTTGTGCAATGGCGGAAACGAATTATAGCTTACATTGTTATTTTCTTTATTGTTCAGGCGCGGTATGCATGTGGGATATTGATACAGAATGAGGACAGGTTAAAGAAGGGTGCATGCTTGCATACCACTCTCCCATTGTAGATGATGACTCAGTATAGGGTTCATGCTAAACCACAGGTAACAATCTCACTACCACAGACCACGTCTCTGGCTCACAACCAAAACGAGTAAAGAAAAAAAAAGTGAACTCTGACAAGAAAGAGAAGTTTTATTTCTATCCATTTTCAATAAATGTAATGTAGGTTTTTTTGGCTTGGCTTGGCTCTTCCCGTTTGACACCGAGCCAGCTAGCGTTTTATGACCAATCAATTTACAATAAATCATGAGTATCATCATCTGAACTCTTTTCTTAAATAGCAGCTCACGTGTGAGTTCGTTCGACGTTCTCATTTGGGAACGGCGTGTTCATATTTTGATCTTCACTCGTTTCGTTGTGATGATATTTGCCCCATTACTATGCAAAATGAGTTCAAAAACATTAAAAAAAATTTTTTTTAAAGCAATCAAACAAGCAACAAACAAGCACGAAAGAGAAACGAACATGTACTTGGTAAAACATGGAAAGGGGGCAGGGAATGGATAATTGTCTATAGCTAATTGATTGAAATCTTTAGTAATAGATGTCTTCATAGCCTTCGAAAGTTAAATTAACACAAATTGTTTTGATCTATTCCTCCTGAATTCGCTCTTGAAAGCTAGCAAGCATGAAGTTTATTTACCTCAAAAATAATTATTGCCACATGTCGTCATCATAAACTGTTTGAAGGTATATAAAGATCAAGGTACCAAGGTTTTATTCATTAGCTGGCATCGGAAAAATAGGTCGATGGAGAAATCAAAAATCAGATAACTGGATCTCTGATTCGAATTTCCTGTCAATGAGAGCCAAGTTGTGAAGCTAATGTTTGGAATAAACTGTCAATGTGTTCCTGTGTTATAACGTCCTTGTTTTCACGAAGTGACGGTAGTGAGGAAAATCGTAACGCAAAGTGAATGCAATTTTTTTTCACTACCGTCACTTCGTGAAAACAGCGACGATAATATGAAAATCCTAAATACGACGTCATAGTGCTAGACCCTATAGCCTATTAACAAAAGTATGCAATGTTTAGGTAATGTTCATATGTTTTTAAAGGGGTTGCAAAAAATATACCACAGAATGATACTTATTTCACGGAGCCATTTCAGCCTTCTTCTCATTCCATGTTGCGTTTTTTTTTGTTGTCAGGCTTCTAATTTCTTGTCAGTAACTTTTTATTCCGTAAAAATGTCTAAGGAAGTACGATGTACTGACGGTGGGCAGTGTGTACACAATCATTTAGTCAGATATAATTATTCAGTCAGTTGGTGCACCCAGTGTTCATGTATTTTTTGTGTGATTTGCGATCAATTAATCATTTTTATTTCTGCATTTTTATATCATGTGTTTTCTGCCGAATAAAGTAATAATAATAATAATAATAATGTCAACTAACTAACCATTCATTCAATTAATCAATCAATATCAATATATAGATTGATTTTGATTTAATATCAGCAATGGCATACGAAACTGCACTTATAACACAACTGCCAGCTTTTCCCTAAAAAACATCCAAGACACTCTCGCATTAGCATAGCACCTCACAATGAGTGACACATTAGTGAGTAAGAGCGCAGTTGACTCCACACTTTAAATCCTATAAATCCCTTGGTCACGTGATGATCTATTTATGTCGGACTGACCTTGCTGTCTGCCAAATATGGGGACAACATTAATTCAACAAATGAATAAAACCAACAAATATTTATGATATTATTAGTTTTAAGTGTATTTCGACGGGGCCCTTGTGACTTTCAGTGTATCCGTTGGAATGTATGGACAAAGGGTAACAAGGACTTCTTATTCATTTTGTCCTAAGAAAATGTTGATTTTGCAGTTCTTTTGATTGCACTTGCTCTTATTAGTTCTAGTCCATTTATTTAGAGGTTGGGAGAGATGAAATAACACACGATGGTTATGAACAGGGAGCAATATGGAGAGCCGAGAGGGAGAGAAATGAGCAGGGGGAAGGGCGAGATGGAAATACAGATAGACAGACAGACCGATAGACAGGCAGACGGACACTGACATACAGACAGACAGACAGATAGACAGACAGACAGACTGACAGACAGACCGGGAGACAGATAGATATTTATATTACGGATATTAGGGAGGGAGATAGAGGTGATAGAAGAAAGAGAAAGGAGAGAGAGGCAGAGGGAAGGGGGGGGGGGTCGGTCGGACCGTCGGAGGGTATAAGTGCAGTGGAAGGAGTTGATTTGAAATTGAATAGTGGACGGGTACTGTCAATATCCCGTATTAGGTATACGTATAGGTGGGAAGTAAGTGAAATAGAAAGATCATAAATTTATAATTATTACAAGTTTATCTTGTTTATATGATTATTACACAGCGTGTTAACATACTCTCTCCCACATCTTCCAACTCTGTTGATTCCCCCTTTTTTAATATGCCGACAGTTGTGATTTTCTGGCACATCAGTGTACCCTTTTATCTCCTTGATGCGATTGTGTGCGTAAATCCGGCATTTGTCAGAGGAATTGATGTGGTGCCTTTCACGCAAGTAACATAATTCGTCACGTTGAGTAATTCTGGCAGTTCTCCAGATACAACATTTGCAGTTTCCAAAAAAGTTTCAGCAGATTATATGATTAGCCGCTCCTGGGCCCTGTTTTATATCAAGAACAAGTTACAATATGGGCTACTGAGATTAATGTATTTGATTGATTGCGAGCAGTGTTGTCAATGGATTGTGGCAGTTGTTATTAAAAATAAGTTTTATGAAACGGGGGCCCGGTCTTTTAGAATAGAGGGAAACTGAGGCCAGTTCATGTCTGTGTTTAACACGGAGACAATACACTTGAATGTCATAAAGAGAGCGAGTTGATACCCCCAAAGTTCCCATGGCTTTTTCAAAGTGAATGACAAGTTTTATCAACAACTATTTCAAGATAAAATATGTAGAATCACAGATGAACAATAATCGTGGGTGCAAAGAGGGATAGCGTCTCTTGCCCTTTGAACGACCAGCAAAAAAAAAAAAAAGGGGGGGGGGGGAGGGCGGAGAACCAGATATTTATCATACATAAAAACTGTAAGCTACTATCAAAACTCAAATCAATTACACACATGCACGCAAAGATATTATGCGTCTTAAAATCTCTTTATTTCTGATTCATACATGAAAATTAGAGCTGTTTTATTACAAAAAGAAAAGAAAATCATCTACAAGCAATAATTTCATTACAAGGAATTTTAAAGAGTATTTTCATTCTAACAAATAGCAATACAAAAATCACAGGAAATTCAATTGGAATAAAAAGCAAATAAAAAACAAATTGAAATAAAATCTGCAAAGTGCTATATAGGAATCAATCCACGCAATAGTATAGGTACATGTAGTACATATTAAGCAAGTTTCAGATATCTATGATAGCTAATTTTTTGTAGTACTTATCTAAAGACAATAAGAAATCTGTTTTGCTTCCAGGCAAAACATGTGGAAGATAGAAAAATACGAAATTAAAATCCTTCACAAACTAAATTGATATGATGACTATCCAAACCTTGTGCACTTTGCAAATCAAACAATGTTTTGAGCAAGTCAAATACATAAAAGAACGTGAGTATATTTTTTCTTTCAAAATAAGTGTAATTGATACATTTATCTCCACTATAAATTGCAATCTGACACTCAGATCAATGATAATAATAACTCTTACCAAAGTGGTTTGAAATCTTGATATGCCATTACATGTTCATGTATAATGAGCATAATGTAGTTTTGTACCTGCCATGAGAGCTTGCCGATCATCTATGATTCACACCTGCTCTCCTTTTATCCTGTTTTAATTACAGAATTTGACAACAATCATTAATTTCTTTCGCTCTCTCTTTCTTCACTTGAAGATAAGGTATTTTGGTAAGACATGAGAGGTATCTTCCAACTCAATGCATTCATAAGCTTTGTTATTACATTCAAATGCAAGGGAAAACCTTTTAATCATAAACTAACGAATATGCCTTACTAAATTAGCAATAAGAGCTCTTAAAATGTCCCATATTGATATAGACAGTTACATAAATTTCAGTTTACATTAACATATTGTACTTCAGCCATACCTCTAGGCACATTTCTGTTTCTTTTCTACAGCAGGAGAAAGTTTGAACAGCTGGATTCTAAAAAGTTAACCTTTCTTTCCATTAGTAACATTGCACCATTCCTCAAAAAAAAAATGATTATAATAATTAAAAAATCTTTCACACACATACAACCCTTTCTTCGTCATAATCTGAAAGAACTACGGAAATAGATAGAGAAGGCCAACAATAATGTTATAACTAACAAGTTGTATTCTTAAGTAAAGATTATATGCTGGTTAAAACTATGCGAAATATACATTTCAATTCCTCTTTGTTTCACACAAATACCTCCATTGTTATTCATACAATATTAAAATTCAAATACAATATTTCAAATCACATTGCATCTTTTAAAATGAAAGACAGCAAATGTCACAAAGCAAAAGACTTATTTCCCGTCAAAGACACACTATCCTTTGGTACTGTAGAATAAAGCAGATGGTCTTACGATTATATTTAAAACAAATTTTGATAGTCCAAAGATTGTACCACTTTTTGTTTACAATGCACAAATTAAATCAGTTTAACAAAAATGTGAAATGATCACATGATACAACATGTAATAAAACAAATTAGGTTCAATCGTCACTATTACTATATAACCTAGTAAGTTTGTTTGCATATCAGTAAGTAACAATTATACATAGAGATTTCAAAGTCTCTGAACACTTTTCACATGTTTGCAATGATGCATCTTAAGCATATAGAAACTTCTACAGGTTGTGCTAGATATCATATATACATGATGGTGAAAGACTGGAAAAGAAAGAATGTAAAAGAAACATGTGCAGCAAGCAACAACTTAAATTTGTGCTCATTCTGGTCATTTAAAAACAGATACCACACACATTTTAATTGAGTTTTAATGACATACATTGTATTTGAATGTTAACTTTTGTAATTCACATATATGTAGCAATTTTCCTCCGAATATAAATATACATGTATATATTAATGTATCTGTGAAATGCACAATTAGGTTTATATATATATTAAATAGACATTTACCCTGGAAATTTCATTTTCGTTTTTTACAAAACTGTGCGTTGTTCAATTGTAAATTCATTTAAAAATATTTCCCTAATTGATATCATAATGTAAACACAAAAATCAAAGATTGGCATATAGAATAAAATTCTTAGTATTTTTGCTTATAAAAGTTCAAGGCTTTTACCAATGTTTGGTCTTCTTCAGAACAGTTGAATACTAGGCACTTTTGGTTTAAACAGTGAAATATCTGACAATTTTTTCCTCATCAGTGAGTAAGGATTGAATAAGTAGTCGCATACAATCTACAAGTCATATCAAACTCTATCCAAACATGAATACAATTCTAAAAACAGATTTTTGTTTTTTTTTTGTTTTTTTGATTACAATTCTGATTGAGAAAAAAAATTGTACCGTATACATGTATGTAGCTAGCTGAAGCAATTAAAGCAATCTATTACTGGTGCATCTAGTAATCCAATAGGATTGGTGTGTGCTCAACAATGCTCAACAATCCACCCCCCCCCCCAAAAAAAAGAGAGAAAATTGCAGTGTGTCTCTACGACTTATAGTTACTAGTTTGTGGATACGCCACTACTCAGTAGAAGTGGTATCAGCATAGTGAATACAAGTGGAATGGATTACATGTCCCATACTTCATTGTAAGTACTATTTAAATGGTGAATACAAATGGAATGCATTGTACCAAACAAGCTGAATTTTTTAGACATTGTGAAAGTACTGTGATGAATACAACAATGAGTGCATTATATGCATAACATTTCTAAAAAGAATGTTATACATTCCAAGTTGAATGAACTATGACATGAAATCAGAATACAATATACATGTTCACGAGTGAAAGATATAACAACTGATGAAAGACACTGCTGATATATATAGCAAACAAAAAGTGAAAAGTTATGTTATGTCAGGCCGTCGTCTTATGATGATCTGTCTAACAGATCAACCCTATTTCTTCATGGAAAATTTGTATTTTCAAAGATTTTTGTTTAGACCTAAGGCAGTTTATTGACTAAAACCTATATTCATTGTTATATAACCATCATTATCAACACCACAGCGAATAGACTGATTATCTGAAGCGAACCTTGAATTTTCAGCATGTTACATTGAAAGTATATTAAGAATATAACAACTCTTGATAGGTCAACAATAAATCAGTGAATTATTGTACTCATCTATTTAACATAGCATTCAAATGAGAGATCAGTGAGAACTGTTGATTGATCAAATTCAAAATCAATAAGAAATACATAGTACTTGACATAAATCATGACATGTACCATAAGACAGAATTATTAGAAAAGAATTCATTCTATAATGGAAATTACAAAAATACATATCTATTAGTAAGCAAAATATACAAATACTGTCTTCCTTTGCTGATTTAATGGAATTATCATTTTTGGTACTAAAGAATCAATTTGACAACTGAAGACACAGTGACCCTATTCAAGTAAAAATCTGCATCGTCAAAAATGTTGGATGCAACTGCTCAGATTAAAATAAAGAAAGAATACATCTGTCTTCTTTTGAGCATTCAATTTCCAAAACAGTCTTGTAACAAACAAGGTACTCATCTAGTCATATATACAATTTCAATTCAAAAATTTCTGTCTTATTCTTTTTAGAATATATATCTACAAGGCTAAAATCTCCTTTAAAAATACATACAGAATATTTGATAATTTGATTGATAGTGCCTGCCACAACATTCACAAGCGTTTATCGACATCATTACCTAGTACCATACATGTATATCGTCTGTTTGGTGCCAGAAGGGCATTGAATCACACAGTAAGTGCTTTTCTTGCTCTGAACAAACAATATGAGCCTAGATCTGTTTTAAACCATCCTTCTTGGTACTGAATGAATAAGATAAGGAATACAATTTTTTATAAAGCATTTTTGAGCAGTACTGACGGCAGAATGTGCATAGATATGCATACATAACTCAACTGTGCACTGTCTTTATGATGTAATGTACATTACATGCTGGAAATGTTAAACTTAGAAAGTAAAATCCAAGCACTAATTGGCTACATTTATGTTTCCATGAAAAATATACCAAAACAATAAAATGTAGTGGATAAGCAGGACATTAGGATGACAATTTAAATGAATAAAAAAGGACTGTGCCTTATCATGAAAAAGGCAGTACTGAACATACATGATAGTACATAATCAAGCCAAGGTACATGTTGTTTAAGGCACTACTGATCTATCACACAAAGAACTATTTAAGTACCTAAGTTAAGAAATAGGATACTTGTATAATATTTCTAGAAAAGTTTTCAAAGATAGTACAGGGGTGATTACAAGTGGTTTATCACTAATACATGGACCCTTGATTCAAGTAAGCATTTACAACTCCTGCTCACTCACAAACTTAACTCTTTGCATGCTAGTTCAGCCTGTGATATGGGCCTATCATAGTGCAATTAAACAGAAGTCATTTCAACATTTTCAGCCTAATATACCTAAATTAGAATGTAGAAATGTTACTATTTTGAATGATGCTTGAGTAAATTGAGCAACATTGATATGAATTGTGTGCAGTACATCGTTGATGTCATCAGTTAGTCTTGACCTTCATTATCTACCAGACCCCGTTCATCATTGCCTGAGGTTGGAGCATCGAGGTGTACATCATCCACCCTCTCTCCGTGCCCTGCCTCAGCCCTGTAGGCCGGGGGAGGTTCAGGCATGTGGGCATGGGGCATGGATGGAGGGGGCATACCCACGTAGTAGTTTGGTTGGTTGGGATACATACTGCTATACATGGCTAGTTTCTCGGCATCGCTGAATTCTTTGTCCGGTAGAGCACCTGCTTCCAGGTCTTCATCCCCTGGTAGACCAGTCTTCTGAGGTCCGGGGTGAGCTGGGCCTCCGGCTGCTCCCATTGGAGGTACAAAGCCACGGTTATCATAGGTAGTGGGTCCAGGGTTGAAAGTATTCTGAATAAAGAAAGTATTGGAGCAATATTAGATGAAATCAACAATTCCTTCACTAAATCTTATACAGATGAAAGGAATAAGTGAAAGAATGGCTGGATGAATGAATGATCGGATGCATGAATAATGGCTGAACCACAGGAATGAATAAAAGATTGGAACTTGAATTATTTAATTAATGAATAGATGAATAAATGAAAGAAAGAATGAATAATTTATTGAATGGATAAATAAATACATGAATGACTGAAAAAATACATGTAGGAGAATGGATCCATGAATGAAAATATGAACAAAACAAAAAATGGCTGAATGGAAAGATAAACAAATGACTGAATCAATGAATAAATGAAAGAAGTTACTCTTACATCATAAACAGGATTGGATGCAGTGGGTATATTACTAGGGAAGCTGTTGGCATTTAGCTGTACATTGGTATTGCCATTGTTGTACGATACTTCTCCCCCAGTAGTTTCTCGCTTGGACTTTGTTCTGAAAATAAACACATCAATATTAGGTTTAGAGAAATATTTCTATATTTCTTGGTTTATTCTATCTAAGAACCAGAATAAACATGAAAACAATTACAAAAACAACATTCTTCTTCACAAGATACTTGTCAGGCCTATGCAATCACACAATTACTGCATCAAATTGGCTTGTCACAATCTGATGCTGTGTATCAAAATGTGAGCTTCTGTTACTGGCACCCTTGTATGATGTTGAATGGGCCTTGTAGCAGTGGCATCACTGTACCATTGACTAGGAAATTAAAGAGAGTGAAAAATGTTCATTCTTCTTTAAAAAAGTACTATTACATCAATGTTTCTCCCCATTCTTCATTTAGGTATAGTCGTCTGCAGAGATTTGTTGTCACACACCTGTGCACTGCTTAAAACAAGGGTGCTAACCTTCATGTGAGAGTATTATTGAGAAATCTATTAAAAGTCTCGTTTTTTTTTAACTCAAAGCTGTGTAAAAATATTTATCCAATCACTTAAATCCATAACAAAGGCAATTTTCATAACGGCTTTAAAAGTTACCATATTAGATCTTCAATAATAATATGGCAGTCATTGTGAACTTTGAACTTTATAGTTGATGCAACTCTATGACAGGTGCAGATCTAAGGGGGGGGGGCAGCCTTTTACCTCCCCCCCCCCTAAAAAAAAATATATACATTCACATAAATGTTCAGTTTATTCATTCAAAAATGCCTCTGAATGTACCATAGAGCAGCTTAAGGTTCAAATTTGTTACCTGACCCCACGCCTTAAAGGCATTTAATGCCCCCCCCCCCCCCCATTTTCAGAAAATCCTGGATCTGCCCCTGCATGGTAACCAGAGTTGGTTATACTTACTTGCGTTTGTAAGCATAGAGGAGCAGTAGAAGCACCAGGACAATGATGATGATAACCAAGGTCGATGATACACCGGCAAGGAGAGGCACCTGGGATTTGGCTGATCAATCAAAAGGAGAGAGAACAAAAATCTTTGTTAAAGGTAAAGACCAGTATTGGAAACGCCCCAATTTCAAAAAATAAAATGGAAGCTCTCATTACCAATCATGTGAAAGAATATGTTTTGACTAATACATGATGATAAAAAATTTGCCGGGAAACCGCCTACTAATTCATATATTTGGTAAATTTGTTTCTCTCATGGTCTGTGAGAGATATAGGGTAGTCCCATCTTTCTGTGTATAGTGCTTGTAACTTTACGAAGAATGGGCCAAATTTCTTATCATTTTGATGATTCCAGAACCTTGCAGATGCTAGATGCTAGATGATCAACCTTTTCTGATCGATTCCACAACGTTTCTTTCACAATGCAATCGCATGACCATAACTGGTCTTTACCTTTAAGAAATGTAATGTTCTCCTGGAGTATGAGAGTGCTTGATTGGCTTGAGAACTATGAACTAGTGAACCTTTTATTTCACTGCCGTGCTAACCAGTCATTCACATTAATACCATCAAGCACTCTCATTATCAATTTACTTTTATTGCTTTCTTATATTCACAACTATATTCTCTATAACCTCCTGTCCTCAGCTGTTCTAGTTCACTGCTGGTATGTAAACATGTGGTTTTGTATGTGTGTATTGATTCCACATTGAATTTACTTGGTCGTGATAGTTGCAAATTATACTTGCATAAATTATTTAATTGAATGATAAAATATCTTTCCAATATTTGTAAATTTTAATCTTTTAACCAAAAGTTAAATTTTTTTAAAAGAAGGTTGGTATCCCTTGATTCCACATGAATGTGTCTCAATGAAAAAGTTGAAATCGAACTTTGCAGAAGAAACAGGAACACAAATGGAAAACCCAACTTGACTCACTTTGTTTGGCAGGACTTGTGCAGAATTCACCACCCAGGCCATTGGGGCACCTGTATGAACGAAAGAAGATGATATTGATGTATTGATTCGAAATACACTCCTGAAAAGTGCTACTGAATGGTTAATTTCTATATTTTAAAATCTAATCTTCTTATAACTGAATCCTAACATTTTCCATCAACAATGTCCTATTTTTCAATCTTAATGAAATTTCCTGCGGTAATTATTGTTTTGATTTCTATTAAATATGTGCTTTACTTTGTGCACCTACATGTATGTGATGTCACTTCATTGCCACAATAAATCAATCTATCTGAGGCTAAGCTCCACAGATATTAGCAAGAATGTTACATGGAAGGAAAATAGTATTGAAAGCAAGTTATATAACATTTGAGTGCACTATTGATCATTATGGAATATATTAATTACACTCTTTCTGTAGTGTTATTCAGGAGAATGTGATTTCCAAAGTGTTATAAACTTTGGCCTATATGCAATCATAAACTTCATACAGAGCCATAAAGTTCTTAATTGTTTAACTCAGAGACATCAATTTAGATTAGACACAGAAGGGAATCAACTTATTGGTCAGATTTAGTCACAAAAAATTAAAGGTTCCAAAAATTAAACTTGGATGAGGCTCAACAGTTGAACATTATATTGTAAGGTTTCTGAGTACTAATTAAATAGAATCTAAGAACAGAAGTGCCATCTTTCAAGGTTCTCCTTGAAAACAGGGGTTCCTGTATCTGACTAGCAAACTGATCACTTGATCAACTAGTCATTTCTTACCAAATATTTTGTATGCACCAAGACTGAATTTGAATTATATTGATGCAATAACCTGCATGGTCATTTGTACGATTATACATATGTATTTGCATGGACCAAGGAAAAGTCAACTTCATCGCAAAGATATATTTTCAGGTTTGCTTCACTGTCAAATAATTACAAAAACATTATTCTGACAGTTTGATTAATTTTGTCATAATTGAACTGATTAATTGCTCTTTGTTGAGTTGCAATTGTCCAACTGATTTTAGGCTGGTGGACAATCTGGTTAACTTGATGAGCTAAAAAACTAATCAGCTGTATAGCAGCATGTTTAATGGACTGATTGATCGACCGACTGGCAAAATCTAGTGCTTGTTGTCGGAGAAATAAAATTTATAAAGTTATCATCAACATTATCATTACACTGATATCCATTGACACAACCCCCCCCCCCCCACCCCCCTTCCCGGCTAAATTAAATATTTTCAATATTCCCTTCTTTCCATTTTGGATTGTGATAATGATTTGGATGTAATTCAACTTACCTGCAGCTACCATCACTTAGACATGTACCTCCATTCTCACAATTGCAACCTGGAGAGAGAGAGAGAGAGAGAGAGAGAGAGTATAAGAGAGAGAGAGAGAGAGAGAGAGAGAGAGAGAGAGAGAGAGAGAGTATAAGAGAGAGAGAGAAAGAGAGAAAGAGATGGAGAGAAAGAGTGTCATAACTCAATATTCTGACAGCAAAAACTTGTACCATGCACTCAGTATAAAGAAATATTCTGCATGTACTGTATATACTACTGTTTATATTTCTAAATTCAATGTTACAATCACGTCATAACTATATTATATTGACTGGGCTTGAGGGGCACATCAGAAATATTGACCAAGCTAAGACCATATCGCCCTGAGTCGAAGACGAGGGCAATCTGGTCTTAGCGCGGTCAATATTTCTGATGTACCTCAAAAGAAGCCCTGTCAATATAATTTTTATTACCTTTACAAGACATTTTTTTACAAATAATAAACAAATTTGATATCAAGCACGATTTTTAGCACACTGATGGAATATGGCAGAATGTTGCCCTCTGATTTAGTACAGTGGTCTACAGTGAAAACCCGGAAGAGGGCGATATGGCAAATGTTGCCCGCTCCTGTTTTGTATTCGGAGTAGCGTGCAAAAGATGACTTTTTATTTTGCAGCTAAAATGACTTGTATGAGTAATTAAAAGTCAATAAATATGACATATAACTAATGTTTTTGTCTAGTGTCACTCTGACATGACTACATACATTTATTCATAAATTATGTGTATGTGTAGTCAGTAGGCTAGAATGTATTAGTCTGGTACAGAATTGTCTATTCACATCATGTTCAATCCTAGGTATAGTGTACATATATATATATATACTAACCTTCATCACATGATGCTTCTATGCCCTTCCCTGATAGACTGGGGTGTAGAAGACACAGATCTCTGCAGTTTTTACCTGAACAAGGATTGTCAACTGCAAACAAAGATAGAAATTACAAACATGTCATATTATCTTTTTTTCCAATATGGTGACAGCATTTTTGTTTAAGACATAATGGACAATTTTTTTTTTAAACTGGAAAGCTGTACACACTGGAAGATAAAACACATTATTAAGGCCCATATTCTACTAAAATCAAAACCTGATGCTTGATTTGAGCTTATGTTCGAAATTGAAAGTTACACATTCATTGAGAAAGCAATGGTCACCAAAGAGGTTGGTTGAATACTATCGTTTCTTGACAGTATTGTGACTCCTACTTCTAGTTTGCGCTATCGGATGAGACCATGGAAGTCTTGTGATATAAGTGTTGAAGTACACACTTTAGAAGTATGGTCAATCTTGTATACTGAAGACACCCAAGCGAAACAGAGAAAGTGGCCACTGTAGACAAGTGGCCTTTCTGGACAGGTTCTACATACATTTCTTTCTCAAGGGAGACAAAAATACATGGCCATTACAGACAGGTGGTTTTTGTAGAGAGGTGACCACTTAGACAGGTTTGATTGTATGTAAAATAAAGGATTTACTCCACAAAATACATATGTCTCGTTCTAAATAATTTGATTTTACTCACTGTTTTGAGGATATCGATTGACCTGGAACATCTTGAGTCCACCAGGGTTGGTCAAGCGACTGACCTCGGTCAGATTCTTAGATGGGTTTAATCGATTGGCCTTTCTGACCTCTCCGCTCGAGCTAGCTGTCCAGTAGAACTGGTCTTCAAACACTTCTAGGTGGAATGGATTATACAGGGCTGTAGGAGAAGTGAATCACAAACAAATACAGATGTAAATTCAAGGTTGATAGCAGCTTAAACTTCACATTATGAGCACCCCAAAAATTAAAATGACATTTGTTTCCTGCTTGTTTTTCAACTCTTTACCAATTTTGGTCAGCTAATAGAACCGTGGAGAGCTGCGGTCGACTCTTGTCACATTGACAGTGTTTATGGAACATATACTCCAAAACAATGTGGCAGTTTAGGATTTCAATGCACAGCAAATAAATCCATCTATTTGCTTGCCCACGGTACTCTTTTTCTTTCTCTTTTTTGGACAGGTTATGAAATCAAAAGTCAAGTCAGGGTATCGAGGTTAATTGATTTAATCCTCGTTTCAATAACGAAATTGTTTTTCTTAATCAAAGTAATGTGATCTGACAGGTATTGGAATTGCCTGGATTCATTGGTCATTGTAAAGCCTTTTCCAGATATGGGGCAATAACCCATACTTGCTGAGTACTTGCTAAATACAAATGGAACACCATGAGTGAGGTGGATGTAAGCACTTTTCTAGATTACATTACCAAATTGAACTTGCCATGATGAAAAAAAGCAAACCATAGTAATATTCATATATTCCTTTTGAACGTAACCTTTGGTAGCAATTAATAGGAAAACCTGTATAAAATCAGATAATCTCCATGAAATGAACCTTTGTAGCCCAATGGAATATACATGTATCAAACAGATTAGCACAAAATAAGTGAGAAAGAAAGGATAATCTGTTTCTATTATTAAAACTCTCTCTCAAGTAGACACACAAGTGCTTTATAATCATTAGAAAAAAAGAATGCATTTGGAATAAGCTAAGTCACACAGTGATGAAGATTCAGAAAACTATACAGATAATGTTTAGAAGGTCTGACAATGACAAAGTCAGAAGAAGTACTGCTCGTTGATTAACAATTCACTACCTATAGCAATCTTCACAGGTATATGAGCTTATATTTATCTTGTTTCAAGGCAAGACACATGATCCTTTGACATAGACTGCCTTCGAATTGCACAAGAGCACAGGAAGTAAGAAGTCACTGAACAGTTTCAATCTGTGTGCTTCTGAAACAAGTGATCTGTTTTGCATTCACACAATCTAACACATGTACATGTGTATATTAATGTACTGTGATTATATGAGTACTCTTCTGGATATATCTGTACAAGAAAAGTGCAGAACCATAATTTAAATGATTCATTATTAGCATTTCAACATAAGCTCCTATATACATGTACGATGGATGTATGATGGATAGAACCCTTCTCTTTACAATTAGTATAGAGATCCACAGAATTACATAGCAGAGAGTTTCTTTATCATAGCACCCGGTATAGGTTTTTTGGTTTAAAAGATTTTAGGATTAGGATTTATGAAGAAAGTGAGAATGTGAAGGTTCCGAGAAATTGTAGAGAGTAACATCAACTTTGGTACCATTGCAGAACATGTACATACACACAGTGTATCAACTACAATGAACACCAGCTAAAGAGGGCAACATGTAGTTTTAAATATAGAAAATGGAGAAATTTTCAAGATTGAGAGATTGAGAGAGAGAGAGCAATTAATGAAGAGAGAAGATGATATGAGGTTTTGTGAAGCAACAAGGAAAACATTAAACTGAATTCTCCTTCATGGTTCCTGTCTTAACTGTGACACATCCCCACAATTTACATGGTAAAATTGATAAGAATTATATGAATGCATTTCAACATATCTAAATTGTATAATGACATATTTTGTGATGATTCAAGTTTCGACAGGGGATATTTTTCTCAGATATGACCTAATCTTTTCATGCAGTCTCTAAACTCGTGGATACTATGAAAATATGAACTATGGCAATGAATCACTTTCTTATTTGTTTGTTTATAATACATACCCTATATGAATTATTGTATTCAGTGTACATTAGTTATATACCCCCAAACCTGTGAATAATGCCCAGAACCTAAAGCCTGTAAAAAATTGCCCAGAGTGGGTTTGGGAGCTGATATATGTTATACAATATGAACCATGAACATAGCCAATCAAAAAGGGAGGAAATGTTTTGATAAAATGCCACATGGAAAGGGGAGGGGGATGTTCCATCCTTATTAATACACCACATCATATCACCCTTGAACCTCTTAACTAACTTACTATTGAATAAACTACTACGTTTCAGAAGTTTATCTAATGATTTTTCAAACATAGTAGAATATACTAGCCCCTCTCAACTTATGAACCACATAGATATCACTGGACAAGAGATGGCGCTATAATATTTTCTCCATTCTGAAAATTGCTGAACTGTGCTGAATGGTGACCACACCGAGGGTAATTTTAGGGGAGAATAGTCCCATGAAAGAGGGGGGGGGGGGGGGGGGGGGTAATGATAATGATTATTAGTAGTGGTAGTTGCCCAGATGGGTTGTGGAATAGCTAGGGCATGCTAGTCCAGGGTAGATTTTCTGTTAGGCATTCTAAAATGTACAGACAACAAATAATGTCTCAAATATAGACCAAGAACATGACCAATAAATAATTGTTTTATATCTCAAAGTGACCAGATTATCTGCAGCTGAGCATGACCGTGTCTCAATATGAGACCTAAATCTAGCTTGATCTCACCAGCATTTACCACGCTTTATCATTTTGTCTTTTTTTTAATGAAAAGAGGTATGAATGTTAAGAACTCTTTTGATTAGAAAAAATGTGATTATATCAAAGAAAAGGGCGAGTGTCAAATTAAAGAAATGTCACAAAGTAAAGGTAAATATTCAAATACCATGTAAATCACCACTCAGATCTGCATTAAGTGGAAGCAAACAAAATCAATACATGGTAAACTGAAAGACTATGAAATTAATCACATAGTGAAGTTATCAGTCCTGAATGCATGCAATGATACATCAAAATATTAGAAAAACAAAAGAATTCTATATTTTGATATCTGCTACTTAAACCTTCACCACATACTACAATGTCTACACAACATAAACGTTTGCAAAGTGAAGTGACATGTAAAAATATCCCCTTCACTTTCAGTGAGTTTGATGAATATAAAAGGTACACATCTCCATGACATTCTGGTAATAGCATTGCAGATCACAGTAGTAAAGGTATCTTGTCAGCTCTTGATTCAGTGTTAGCTCTAGCTACAAAACATAATCATGGTTTTCAACAAATCATGCACTTTCTATTCAGGACAGGTCTTTATATGCAGTACTATCTTTCACTGTGCTGCTGTACATGCATGCACCTAACCTACTTTGTATATTATATCATTAGTGTATGCACATTCTACTTAGCATTGACTACATTGTACATGTAGATATTAGTGATTACATGCAAAGCCTTCATGCTATTACTGTACTTCATGCTACAATTAAATAACAGAGTTTCAATAAGTGATTCAAGAAATCATGCTAGGTTTGATAGTTTCAAGAAATGATTCTTTACAAAATTGATAGTTTCGAGAAATGATTCTTTACCTCCACTCATGAGAGTTTTCCTGTTGGACCCATCAAAGAGCATCCCTTGTAGGATATTGAGCTTAAAGTCAACCCAGAACACACGATCGTCATTGCTGAAGTCAACGGTCAGTCCACGTGGCTGGATTAGACCGTCAGTGATGACCTTCTCAGAGTTCTCTCCATTCATGTACGCCATAGCAATGAAAGCATTGCCCACACGAGAACTCATGTCGGCCCAGTAGATATACCTGCATCAAAAGTCAGATAGTATGCACATAAATACTGATGGAAAATAATCATACTTTAACACACTGACTAAGAACATAAATTTGTGAGACATTAAAAAGCAAGTAGCAAGAGTGCTGGAAATTAATAATAGATGATAAAATCAAATGAAATTAGTTTGTATTCATAATGATGAGACACATACCGACATGGAAAATCATGATCTAGGACTAGTTCCATTATTATTTGATTATTATTATTACTTATACCGCGCTTTTCCCATAAGGCCCCTAGCGCTTACAGTGAATGAAAATCAAAATTACATAAATACATATAAGAAAAACATTCTTACAACTACAAACTACAAAAAAATTGTGTTTTAAGGCCTTTCTGAAGGTAATAACTGATGGAGACAGCCTAATTCTAAGTGGTAGATCATTCCAGTATTTTGAAGCAGATACAGTAAATGTCCTATCACCGGCTAATGTGCGGGTAACTGAATATGTGAGAAGGAGAGACACTTACCCTCTTCTTGGATTGACAGCAACAGAGGTTGGTTTCTCTACATTCTCCTTGGTGAGAGTTCTCTCATGTAAACCCTCTAGATCAGCTACGGCAATCTTAGGGTATGGATCGGCTACTATCTGATCAGATTGACGTTTGGATCTTGAGGATTGCGTTACTCCCTGATCAGTGAAATAGATGTTCCTACAATGTGAGAGCAAAACAACAAATAATGTTCAATATTAATAATAATATCATCTATGTACATCTGTAATTTAATGCTCCATGTGTATCTACGCACGGAAATAAACACCTAGAAAAATCTAGTATTTTTGCTATGTAAACCGAAATGAAAGATTGCATTTTCTCAATGAAAAAGGTTATTTCTCAAGTGAGATATAATGTATAGTGAAGGAACAAAACAAAACAAAACAATACAAATATTTTGGGCACTGATTGAATGCCAGGAATTTTATTTATATAAACTTTTATATAGAGAAAATTTGCTCTGTCGACAGCAAGGCAGTGGTGTAATCTCTGAAAATAATTAATCTGGAGGGTTCAGATATCAAGAGCTAGATTCTCAGTGCTATTCTACTTTCAAATAGTAAAGAGTAGGCACATTTATACTGTCAAATACCCCATTAAAAAAAAATTAAATACAAAATATATAGATTTATTTTCCCCCTACCATTTACACTTGCGCTGAAATATCACTGACTGAAAAGCTCAGTGATGTTTTGGCGTGTTTTGGTTTGTAATGCGCATGTGCGGTCTACCCGACCTTCGACCTTGGCCCTGTCATTAAAGTGGTAACAATCAGGAAGTGCCGAAGGTCACGTGACAAACATCGCAATTTTTCAGCTGCTACCGTTTACCTTACCGAACATCACGCAGACATTTAACAAAAATCACACTTTGGCGCAGTTGCCCAGCAAACTTCACCGAAAGATCGCGGTCAGGCCCCATTTAATCTTTTGGCATGTTTGGTTGCAAGTGTAAATGGCCGTAGTGTCATTCAATCTTACCTTCCTATCCAATCTACTGAGATATCAACAGGCAGATATACATTATCAACAGCCAGATTCTCAGGAGCTATATCACTGTTATACAGTAAAGAGTGTCGTTTGATAGAACGCGATTCACTATCTGTGAAGTACAGAGTATCTGCAAGACAAAGCAATATAAAAGAAGAAGTTTGAATAAGTTTGTGATAATTTCTGAGAGAATGAAGGAACATATACCCTCTATTTTGGAGTCGGAAGGGAGTTCTGACTCGCATCATTTTACAGTGTTAATGCCCTTCTGGCTCCAAATAGGCACTATTCTATTAGCTCATAATGATGCAAACTGCTAAACTATCTGCCTATAGTTGATTACAGAAATTCACAATGATTATACCAACAACAACAAATATATCCATGAGAATACATTATACAAGGTATACTAGTACATGTATCTAATCCTTATATATCTCTGTAATAAATACAAGAATATACTTCTATCTTACAATTTAGGCAAACAGGAGCATGTGTCACCAAGGTATATTTACTCCTCTGCTTTAATGTAAGTGGTAACTTTATAAAGGTGGGAATAACACTGTAAAAATCTTAAAGGAGTATTAAATAGAAGTGTCGTGGTCTAGTGGTTACTCCGTCGGACTTAGGATCATATGGTTTGTGGTTCAAGTCCAGCCCGGGCACTAATGTCCTTTGGCAAGGCATTAATCTACTTGTACCATCCTTTTTGTTTGTTTATTGTACATTTACAAATATCATATTTTTGTAATGGGGTTTGCCATTGATATGCCTTTGGCCTTTGCAAATCCCACCTTTTTTAAAATCAATTTGTGTTTTATACTTGTTATTTTCTTGTTTAATCTATATGTTAGAGTCATTGTGATTGTTCTTTTTATTCAAATGCGAAAATAAGATGAATTGAATTGAATTATTATTATCATTATTATTATTACTTGTTTCAAACATATAGTCCAGGCCTTCAATTCTGCTTTGGTGATCCACGATCGTGTCTCTACCTCCATCCACATGACGGATGATAGACTGCCCATCAGATATTATCAAATACTCTGTTGCTCCTGTAAGTAAAGAGATGAAAAAATGCAGCAGTGATCAAATACATTTTCTATCTTGGTCCTTCATCAATGGTTCCCTAGCTGCACACCATAAATTACAAAATAGTGAACTGCTTGAGAATGGATATAAGATACATATGTAAGCACTTTCCATAAAATTGACATTAGATTTGAGTAATAGAGATTAGCTTATGCAATAACTATAAATGATATACATATTTGAAATAATCATGAATATTATTCACTAGTATGATGTAAATTTAATGGCATGTGCATTGATTCAAACAGGGAACAATGCCAGCCCCCTTTAATAATTCCATTTTAACCAAATGTAGAAGTCATAAATATGAAGTCATTAGATTAGTGAATAACATTCATGATCACCAATCATACCAAACGACAAAAGATCAATGATAAAAGAGCAAAAGAGGAAGTAAAATCATATGATCTGAAGACCTGGAAAGTAGTTAACCAGTTGCCTCCCAAATGATAACCAGAATGCTCCTTTATTAGGCTCATGGCCGGGAATGAGAAAATTCAGAAGTCGAAGGGTTAATTACCGTTAGCAAAACAGCTGTTGTTCTGTCCAGTGTAGCCCTCTGAGCAGGAGCAACGGAAAGTACCCTTAGAGTTGGAGCAGGTTTGGATGCAGTCAAAACCAAGACACTCATTCACATCTAGTCGTAGTACAGGATAGAGTCAAGAATTAACATAAAAAATATAATCCACATCAAGAGAAACATTAAAAAAAAAATTATTCAAGTACACCTGTACATAGTCCAACGCTTTACCCAACAAGGTACCTGATTACAAGGTAGGTTCTTTTGGAAGATATTTGTCAGAGCAATATGATAGAAAATTTGATTGTGAAATGAATAGAGAAAAACTTTGGTACTAAAAGAATATCATTTGACTTAAAGTCTGGTAAGCACTATACATCCACATTGCACATATACATTGTTTTCTTTCAAATGTTGGTTTTCTTTAATATGTAATTGTTTGTCATTGTATTTTGTTTGTTAGAGCGCTTAGAGCCTTCGATCAAAAGAGCTTTATAAGAACCTTTTTAAAGATTATATTTGTTATTATATACATTGTTTCTTAAGAGCCAGAAGTAAGTGCGTTAAAATCCTTCTGGCTTTCAGCAAACGATAAGAGGGATTCTTACCCACGCAGTTATGCCCATCTTCCGCTAAGACATAACCTTGCCTACACTGGCACAAGATGGCACCCGCTGAGCTGATTGGTGTGCAAATATGCTCACAATCACCATTGTTTACCGAGCAGGTAGCTTCTTTATCTGAAAGTAAAGCAATTATTTACAATTCAATGCTTAAACTTCAAAATACAACAACACCAGAAACTTTCATGTGCTTGAAACATTTGAGAATCATTTGAGACTCTTGTAACAGCTTCAGATTCCCAACAATTTCATACCACAAAAAGAAATGAATTATCACTGAAAAACAACAATGATTTGGGGGACATTGCATTAATTTACTGAATATTGTTGTTGGATGTAACGCACAAAAGCTTTCTTTTGTAAAAGTTTCTGGTTATACAGTATTCTAAAAAAGTTTAGGTAGGTAAAATGTTGAAGTCTTAGCAATAAACAGAAATTAATTAAGTAATTAAACTCAATAAACCCTCAAACTTAAGCATAAATGGTATTCTAGCAACAAATACTTTATGAAAGTTTTGTAATTTTATATGCAATAACTACTAACCCTCTGGTGTGTTTTAAATACAGCATTGAAAGTGAGTGAAAACTTACCACATCCTAATTCATCATAATTATCAGTGCAGTCATTGTTGCCATTACAAAGAGCAGAAAATGGGACACAATCACCACCTGAACATCGGAAGCTGTCCGCCGTACAAGCTGTTGTTGAGCCTAGGGTTTCAAGAGTGAACGATTAATATAGGTATGTATCCAACTAATCCAAGCAATGTTTAGAAGAGTGCGGAAGCCTTTCTACATGTACATGTATATAACATATGTAAAGTACTTTGAAGCTATTCTCCACAGGTGTTGTTCTTATTTCATATCAATCACATATTCAAACACACTAATCAAAAACATTATAGGAACTATTGAAGTACAGCTTATGGCTCTCAAGTTATTGCATTAATAATGTATTAAACAAAAATCTTTTGATCCATCCATCCATCCATTCATTAAAGCATCTACCATACTAACTTTAAGAGCTCTTTAATAAATTCCTTTATAACAATTAGATATGCATCTCTACAGTTATTAAACCCATCACATATCCATCATTTATTCACTTGCTCACTTGAAATTTCCCTCAATCAATCAATCTTTCAATCAATCAATTAATAAATCTGTTAATCCATCCATCAGTCAGTCAGTCTATACTTCAATCAATCAATCAATTAATAAATCTGTTAATCCATCCATCAGTCAGTCAGTCTATACTTCAATCAATCAATCAATTAATAAATCTGTTAATCCATCCATCAGTCAGTCAGTCTATACTTCAATCAATCAATCAATTAATAAATCTGTTAATCCATCCATCAGTCAGTCAGTCTATACTTCAATCAATCAATCATACTAAGTTTTTATATCGTTGTTCATCACTTAAATTTGAATCTCCACAGTTGTACCCATCACATATCTATCACTCATTCACTCAACCAATCATTCAATCAATCAATTAATAAATCCATCCATCCATGCATCAATCACTGGCACTGGCTGGAATGCTCCCCAGGGAGTGGAGAATGTGCATACACTGTGTGCGGGTAAGCCTGAATTCGATGACCAGGTTAATAATATGATTGCAGGGCCCTCAGGGAGAACAGTATGAATACTGATGAGGCTACCCTGGGTAAACAAGACATATTATTATTATTATTATTATCAATCAATCACACTAAGTTCTTACATCGCTGTTCATCACTCAGATCTGAATCTCCACAGTTGTTGTACCCATCACATAGCTGATCAACCCAGATGCACAGCCCAGACGAAGGACACCTGAATCGCTCTCCTTGACTGGTGTCACATTGGCTGGTAACTGTTGATAGAAAATACATGTTTTTATATTTTTCTGACATCTTTATTATACGTGCATACTGGGCAAAAGTAAAAGAGAATATCAATGAGCATAGAAAACAGTGTACATGTACATTAACTATGTGCCCCTCATGTTTCAGAGATGCAGGTGAGGTTACAGTGGAAAACACCGTCCCCTGGATAGGATGTTAAACGGAGGCCCTGTGTCACCACTTTTGCATGTTAGGAATTCCTTACACTATTCAAATAAGAGCAAGGGGGAACCAAGTGTAGTAGTTCATCTGCACATCACAATCAATAATATTGGGAGGAGATAACAAGGGGTTACTACGATTTAGTTTGCTTTAAGGCACAGGTCATACCAAGTAATGAATTAATACCTGAGATTCTATAGAGAGGATCACAGATTATATGTTTCATGAAGTCCTTCACTCTCATGTGGTCGAAACCCTAGACTTACACATTGTTCATTGTATCTAATACGGTAACACTGTATGTGCGCCACAAATGGACTGTGGCAGTCCATTGCTTGTTCTATTATTCAACCAAAGCAAGGAATGAGTTAAGGAGATCAAAAGTACTTGAAATTTCAAGTTCACATACTTAATGTTTATTTAGAGTTTAATAAGGAGATTGATAGTACTTGACATTTTAAGTTCACAAATTGAATGTTTACTTACGACATGCTTCTCTGGATTCATCACTTCCATCACCGCATTCATTACCTCCATCACATTTAAACTCTTCTGGGATGCAACGATTGTTGGTACATCGGAACTCGCCTATCTCACATCCTGGATTAGTTGTTGCTATAAGACACAACAGACAGATTAACAACAAAATGACAGATTGTGTTCCATGCCAAATCTTGTCTTACTGTAACTCTGCAGTCACTATGGAAATTTCATACTGCTTCAATGTTTTGGGTATATGATACATATATAGTACATGTATATGTACATGTGCTAAAAGTCACCTGTGGCATCTAGCCCACTCTTTGTTTCATTAGTTGACCAAAGAGGGCAAAGAGTTAAAGGAAATCTTCAGTAGATGCACAAAAACTAGATCAAGAAACTCATGTGATCCTATATCTCTGAGTGCCATTACATGATGACTAACAAGAAAAAAAAGGTGCCTATATATCGTGGGGATATATTGGGGATTCAAGGTGAACAACCATTTATAATTAAAGGATATGTTTATTACTTCTCCTAAATATAATTATGTCAGTTGACCTTGTTGAAGCAATAAACGGGAGCTGCACACAAAGAGTAAATGTCTTTTTGTCCCCTCCCCCTTTTTTAATGGGGGGGGGGGGTGTCTTCCTGAAAAGGTATGAATAAATAAGCATTGAATTCTACTGTTGTAATAGTTATGATTTGTTAATCTTAATATCAACTACATGTTGCATTTTGTTGTTTAAAATATAATGAAAATTGAGTGTTGAAAGGGATAGTATTGAACATAACTTGAAGTATAAATATAACAAGCAAATACAATGGATATTTTTTTAAACAAATAATTTACTCATACATTGCAAGAAATTATATTTGGGAGAGAGGTAGGGAGAGGGCAACGGGTAATACGGCTGTTTTTTAACATCATAACATTCATTTCATTTTTTGCATTCTATTGAATACAAATTATTGACAGGAAGAAATTTAAGATGAATTCATTTCAACCAAATTAAGCCATTTAATCTCAGCAAATCATAGTAGAATTCAAAAGATCTACACATAAATCTAGATGTAGAATAAGGCCAGCATACCTGTCACAAACTTGTAGTATCATTCTTTGGAATACATCTATAAAATCCATCACTTTTGCAGTGGCAATTAAAAGATTTTTTTTTTTTTTTTTAAGGGGGGGGGGGGGTTGTTTTGTTCTGCCAAGCTCATCCACAATTCCATTTTACCCAAACTTTTCTTGCTCATGCAAGTCTCAAAATTAACAGATTTGAATGAAATAAAAGGAGGAACTGGTGACAGATACAGAAGAATGAAGAGGCTAAAATCAAAAGTTGCATTGACAATTGTAATAGATGAAAGATAAGATACCATCATTTTTTTAATAGGAAGAAGAGAGAGGGGGCTGACAGAAGAACCAAAAATAAATTTACAGAAATATAGAGTGGCAGAGAGACATAGATTATGAGAGAAAGAGAGACAAACAATGTGAGGATAAGAAAGATAGAGAGAGAGAGATAGAGAGAATGAGTGCGACAAAGAGAGGCAGAGAGGCAGAGAGGTAGAGAGGAAAGATGTAGGCTGGGAGGATGAGAGAATTTGAGGGAATGGATATGCAGCTTAAAGGGATATCTTTGATGCAAGAAAATTCAAATATTCTCCCAAATCCTTTATGGAAAATGCAACACACAGTACCTAAGTAGTCGCTATGGTATACAGGCATACCATTTTCCATTGAAAGTCGTACAGGTATGACAGCTTATCATACAAAGATAGATGAAATCATAAAGAACGAAAACATGGAATTACAAACAAAGGTATCAGAACTTAAGAACATCACCAACGTCAATGAGACAGTACATGTATATCATTTAATACAGATTGATTACAAATAAGAAAAAAGGACAAAGACAAAGGAGAACTTAAAAAAGAACTGTTACAATGTTGGAATTAAACTTACAGGTATTTGTACAAGTTCTAATCATTGAACAAATATAAACCTACTTAATTCAATATAATTTCATCCATTACCTAACCACAATTACTCCAAGACTTTAACCGTACACAGGCAGTACAAAATAAGAGCTACATGTAATGGCTCACATAGATCTTCTGATAATATAAGCAGGACTAGCTAATGATAGGTAAAATCTAAACTGGTAGGACATCTATTTTTACTCAAGAAGCTGCACATCATTTTGGTCACTGTTGATATTCTTTATAACGACCATTACAACCATGCACATAACTTGGACAAAAACTGCAACTGTAAGCCACAAAATGTTAACGGTCCCGTATAACATAGCATTTACACACGTTCAGTATAACTCACCATTTATAGTTCATAGAGAAAGTCATAAAAAGAAGATTTATTTAGCAAATATCAATCGATCATACATACAGCTAATTGCATGCACAAAAGAACAAAGATAATTGCGAGTGATTTTTCTCTGCAGTGATGCTCTTCAAAAAAACATTACGGCATTCTCAAAGACAATGAGTTATACATGTATTTTCCCTTTTTGAAAATTAATGCGCAATTCTACCTAAGCCAACTTGGAAATTTAGGGTCAATGTTCCATATATTCCATGTCTTTACTTATCTTTAAAAATGAACAAATGCCTTGTTAATCTTAGACTTATACATGTACAATAAAACAGGTATACCCTGTATGCTACTTTGAGGTATCATTTAGGATAGAAACAGATTGCAATCACTATATTTCTTAACATCTATCATAACTTTACCTTTTATATTGACATGCATATTGGAAACAGGACAACATGCAATAAAAATACATAAATAACATATATGTGAGCATTCCCTTTACAGAATAAATATATAGGTGTATATGGTTCCTGGTGTATTTATCAAATTATTAGAACATGTTATGCATACAATTGTTGTTATGACAAGATATTTAAAGAACTAGAGATGCATACGTACCACAGCCACTTTCGTCGGACCCATCGAAGCAATTGCGGATGCCATTACAGAAGAGGGTCGCGTTGATGCAGGTTCCAAAGGCACAGGCTCTGTAACCATTTGGGCAATTCACATCATCTGCAAGAGAGAGAGAGAGAGAGAGAGAGAGACTGTAAGATAGGACATGATGGGACTATCAGGTAAATATCATTTTATGTACATGCAGTATAATGTCATTGATGATTGTCATTGATGCTTCAAACATGTACAGGTAGCATAATTAGTAAGTTTCCCTTATTATTTTTAAAATTTTAGTTAACTGACTTCATATAAAGGTAGCTATATTTATTTATTTTGGAGCTTTTGAACTGAAAAACTATAGAGATGGAGGCCTACATGCGCTAAAATTCCTAAAAGATTGCTCTATTCCATTACCACCTGCCTGGTTTCTGTGTCATTATATGGACTAACAAGTCTGTTGACATGTATTGAAGAAGAAGAAGAAGAAGAAGAAGAAGTATGTGCACTTCATAAAATATTGTTGTTATGAATATTAATAGTACCAGACAATAGACTTGGAAGATTAAATACTAACACATGATTGGGCACTACAAAGAAGAAAACAACATTTGGGAGGTACTTGTACTTACTGCAATCATCTTCATCAAGACCTCCAGGGCAATCAACGGTTCCATCACACACCTTCCTGCCTTGGATGCAACGCTCATTCCCACAGCGGAACTCACTCTCACTACAATCACGATATACTGTAAACAGGAACAAGGATAGACGTATTATGGATTGCTTCAATTCAATTCAACATGGTATTCATTTAAAACAATCTCACATCATGATTTGTGCATAATTCTTTTTTTTTTACTGTCATAAAAAATAACAAGCAACATATAAGATACATACAAAAGAATAAATTAGATGAGTGATGATTGCAAATTTAACGCTGCATAGTATGCGTAGCCTATGTAAACAAATAAATTACATACAAGGAGGATTAGCATGGGTGTTGCTTACTCCAACAGCTCCTACAATAAAGAATAATTGCTGCGATACAGACATGTGTTGTATCGATCAAAAAGTATAAAGAGAAGACCGTCTTTTATACTAGCTGTATAACTTTCATATCAGGCTTCTAATATGATTTTACATTATGTGCGAGTCTAAAGGGCATTAAACTTATACTATAGGATAACATACAGATTTAACATCCTTTTTGATATAAGCAGACAGTACAATGAACAAACCACTGGCAGAGAAAGAATATAAAAAGAATGGATGGGTTGGGTTACCCATGTTACTCACCACAGCCCTCATATTCATCTGATCTGTCTCCACAGTCATTGTTAAAATCACACTCCCATCGTTTGGGAATACACTTGTGGTTATCACATCGGAAATCTCCAATGGGGTCACAGGTCACTTCAGCTATTACATAACATATGAATCAGGATTAGAAAATGAGTTCAAATTTCAAGGAGTCAGTATTGTAATGTTTTATTTATCACTGATTTATCACCTCCCCCAACAACAATAAACAAATATTAAAAGAGGACACATAACCCTCTCTGAAAAAGCTCTAATCCTTCATCAACAACCCAGAAAATAGATTTCATTACATCGCTTTTTATTATCCTTTATTATATTTTCCCAAAACATCCACTGACCTTTATCTTTCATCTTTCTGTTTTTGTTTAATAGCAATGTGGAATCAATTAGGACTTCAAATTTTGAATGACATCATAATGAATACTTACGACAGCCTTCTTCATCACTGTCATCTTCACCCCTGCAATCCAGGAAGCCGTTACATCTCACGTAACTTGGGATACAGCGATAGGAATCAGCGCAGGAAAACCACCCAGGTGCGCATGTAGATTGGTCTAAAAATACAAAGGAGATCAAAAATATGTGACATGTGTTCTAAGTCTGAACTTTTTAACTATCAAAATAAACTGATTGTCCAATTTTTATTCAATATTTTGATAAGTACATCCCATGATATTTTTACAACAGCTACATGATAAAATATGTTGATGATTGATAATGATACAATGAATTTATTTTGTGCACATTTCAATGTCAATTAAGTGGGATATATGGACTTTACATAGGATATATATGTCAATGTAATGGGACATATCTGTCAATTAAAGGGGATGTAAATTAGTGATTTAAGCATAATTGTAACAGTACATATGCTACACAAATGTGAAGACTGTGTAACAACATTCACACTCATAATCTTCATAATAGCAGTTATTGATAATTAGATGGTGGATAACTTACAGCATAAATGAGAGGGTTCGTCAGACATGTCTCCGCAATCATTATCTAGATCACATACCCAGGCATCAGGGACACAGAAACCATTGGCGCAGGAAAAGTAACCCACTTCACACGTTCTGTTGGGGTGTGCTGCAGAAATAAATAAACAGTGAACAGTTATCAGGAAATAATCTAAATCATCTAAACTCAAAAGCAATTCATTTAAAACTCATGAATTAAATCATCTATATAAAGAGTAATCATTCACTGTGGTTTCAATGGATATTTTAGCTTGCACTTCTTCATATCTTGTAAACAAAATTTTAAAAATGGTTTAGTGATCTCAATCAGCTAAGTCTTCATCTGTAGTACGAACCTTTCTATGGGTGTTCCCCAAGGCTATATACTTACTACACATTGCTCCTTCTATATCATCTCCACCTGGGCAGTCATCATCTCTATCACACACCTATCTATGGGTGTTCCCCAAGGCTATATACTTACTACACATTACTTCTTCTTCATCATCTCCACCTGGGCAGTCATCATCTCTATCACACACCTATCTATGGGTGTTCCCCAAGGCTATATACTTACTACACATTACTTCTTCTTCATCATCTCCATCAGGGCAGTCATCATCTCTATCACACACCTATCTATGGGTGTTCCCCAAGGCTATATACTTACTACACATTGCTCCTTCTATATCATCTCCACCTGGGCAGTCATCATCTCTATCACACACCTACATGTATCTATGAGTGTTCCCCAAGGCTATATACTTACTACACATTACTTCTTCTTCATCATCTCCATCAGGGCAGTCATCATCTCTATCACACACCTCTCTACGTGGGATGCACTTCCCGCTGTTGCATTTGAATTCCCAATCTTCGCACACATTGGTAGCTGGATATAAAAAACAACAACATACAAGATGAATTTACAGAGACATTGCATAACAAAAACAATCTTCCCAATTTACCATAAAAAATAAATAAATAAAAAGTAAAATATAAATAACAATAATCACATCGTCGAGGTCTCTATATTCACTTTGGACAATTCTATATGTAAGATTTAACTACATGTACTTGAACAGTCACGATGCAATAGTACTGAAAGCACAAAATGATTTTCCTTCCAACCACAGATGTATGTGTGCCTGGGTCAAAAGAGAAACCTGTATATAAATTTAAAATAATGCCAAAGTGAAGTAAAGAGAAAGATAAGTTGTGGTAAAAGTATTTTTTTTCTTCAAATCTCCTTCTCTTTCAGCAGTGTAAGCAGTGTTTTTCACTGTTTCTAATTTCCAATAAAATTGAGTAAATTGGTTGAAAATCTGCAGGTGATATGAACACACCAAATCACAGTAATGCTGAGATATGATTGCGGTCTCCTGCACTTTTTCAACAGATAGTTTAGATAATACTTTAAATTTATAATAATATGTTACAGAAATATTAAGTTTCGTTATTATATGTACATATGTAAACACAAAGTTATTATTGTTTGTATATTTTGTATTATACATTTAGGTTTAAATGTTCTTTGTTATTCAGTTATTATATTTTAAAAAATTAAAAAATCAAGAAAACAAATTACTTACAGCAATGTGATTCATCTGATATTGTAACATCTTGGCAGTCATTATCCCCATCACATAGCCAAGGAATAGGAATGCAGCGGTCATTACCATCACACTGGAATACAGAGGGATCACATACTCTCTCAACTACGGGCAGAATCAGACCAAAAGAAAATACAAAGTAAATCACATATGAATTTCAAACTTGAACTTGGCATGTATTATCTAAGAATAAACACATGAAAAATATTGTAGAAAGCAAAATGAAAAATGATTATGTACAAGGAAATAGGAAATAACATGAATGCTGATCATCTCAAGTACTTTCATGGTAAGCAAAATACTCAATCTCAATACAAAAAACAATTTTAGGGGAAATGATATGATGCTTTTCTGATTGAATATAATAAACCAAAAAAATGTATGTTACATGGTTAAATTAGCTACTTTTGAATAAGAATATGATAGTACTGTAATAGGAATGAATGAAAATAAACTATCAAGTACTTTCTTGCAAAATTGTCATGAAATACTGACAAAGCGGTAAAACAATGAGAACAATTTCTAGAAGTATTCATTCCTTTCTACATCAAAAGATGAATATACTAGATACCTTGACCACAATCCCTCTCGTCCTCCCCATCGGAGCAATCATTGTATCCATTACACTCATAGTACCATGGGATGCAGTCTGCATCAGCTGAGCAGTGGAACTGACGATCAGAGCATCTCTCTACACAGACCCCATTCTCCAGGACATAGTTGTCAGGGCAGAGACAGGTGAAGTCGTTCCCTCCTGCTGCAATCACACACAGGTGGCTGCATCCTCCGTTGTTAGTTCCACAGGGATTCTGAAGGGCTGATTGGATGGATGCAAAAGAGCATAGAGATGATGAACTTATGGACAAAAAGGGAGACGTGGTGAGCCACGAGGGATTACTATTGAGGGACTTGGAATTTATTGCAAACTTGGAATTTATTCCTTGAAATGCTAGAGCGCCGTATGGCAGCCGTGCTAAAGCCAGGGTAATAATCGGGAGCGCCAGGAGGGTCAAATCTGACTGACATGAGCGCTATACAAGAACCCACTATTATTTATTATTATTATTATTATTATTATTATTATTATTATTATTATTATTTATTATTATTATTATTATTATTACCACCCACTACTGAGGAGCTGTACTTACTGGTGTCTTGTTTCAGGGAATGATAGATATTGATATCAAATGGACGATGGATCGTAGTGACCAGTTCCATCTCGCTTAGTCCTGTCAGCTTGTGAGCACGGTAAACCTTTTTGATGTTCCATTCTGTCCAGTATACCCATTCGTCAAAGACTGCTATACTGAATGGATGGGCGATACGGTGGACGGAATCATCGTTGGCTAGCTCATGAATATTGTTCCCTTCCAGATCAGCAAACCTGCAATGTTTGTTTAGTGAAAAGTTTAGATTGTAAACACAATAACTGCTGTCCAAGCTAATCGTATAGAAGGATAAATCAAGGAGGAGGCATGATGGCTCAGTAGTAGAGTATTGGTCTTGTAACCAGGGGGCCCTGATTCATAAAACCTGCTATCAATAACACGATACAATGATCATTTTTATAAGCTACTGAAATCCTTATACTTGAATTGCAATTTGCAGATTTGTCATAGATCTGTAGCACTTTTTATTGATAACGATTTTAATGAAACAGGGCCCAGTTTAAAATCAAGTAGATGCAATACTGCCCTTTGTTAAGGCATCAATTCTCATAACAGAATCCTTTGGATAAGGCTCAAAACCCCAAGGTATCCCTGTCTGCTTTAATAACAGTCATCAAAAGATACATTCTAAAAATGCAAAATACAGCTTTGCAAAAATGGTAATTTAAGTGCCAGTTTGGATATATTCAGTAACTGTTAGAAATAACAAATTTTGGATTTGCCCTAAATTTTTGTTGACAAGAATGCAATCTCTCTTCTGATACGAATGAAATTTTCATAAAAATCATCATTATTATCATGGTTTATTCCCCCGGTCTTCAGCATTCTCCCTGATGAGGCCAGATGCTCTCATGTCTTCTTCTCCTAAAAATAAGAAATAATTGGTCTTTCTTTACCAAGCCAATCAAAAATTGGAATATCATACATGAAGCATTCTATTCATCTTCCTGCCTACAGAAATAGAAAAATGAAGTCCACAATAAATAAAACGTACGAAATGTGATCAAGATGTGCATCCGTCCAGTAAATCCTATCTGCTGTGTAGTCTACAGTGATTCCATTGGGCCAAGCGATGTTTTCATTGTGTATCTCAATGGGGTTAGTGCCATCCATTCCCATACGTCCAATGTAGGCTCTCAGTCCCCAGTCAGTCCAATACATATTCCTGGAGGGAGATATCGAGAACAGATCGCAAAAAGGTATCAAAATGGAGATGACTTTATGATAATAATCAATAATGTAATCAACTACATTGAACAGAAGAAGTCATATAGACAGTATAACAAAAACCAGCTATCCTAGGTCATTAAAGAATGTACCAACGTTAAAATAGGAATGCTTACCCATGTTTAGGGTCTACTGCCACTGCTCTGACCTCAAATAGATTGGTTCTTTTCAAAACTCGGCGGCTACTACCATTCATCTCAGCTACTTCTAAGATTCTCCTAGGACGATCTGAAAAATAAATTTTCCTACAAAAAAAAGTAGAAGAAAAAGAAAAAGAGCGCAATCAAGATTTAAATCATGCTCCCTCATCATTTTTTTCTTTTTCAATGGCAATGACTTGAATTATATTTTTAATAAGCTTTCACAAGCACGTTTAAACAAAATATTTATCTGATATAATATACATTGAAAGAAATTGAGAGTGCCTGCACATTTTACATACATAAAAGTAACTCTTCTGAAATTCCCTTATGGTACACACAACATATATCATCCATAGCAGATAGATTGGGAGTATGAATTGAAGCATACAATAATCTACAAAATTTTGTATGGGGTAGTTACTGCAGAAAGAAAACTTGAAATGTGGATGTTTCTCCATCTTCTCTTCCTCCATTATAAACCTACCTTCCAACCCAGTCAACAGCAATGCCCTCCACGCTACCAGCATCATCATCGATGATCACCTCTCTGTTCTGAGCATTCATATCCATCCGGACGATAGTGTTAGCAACAACATCGGATACAAACAACTTGTTATCTACTATATCGTAGTCGAGTGCAACAGCGAACTCAAAGTCTTGGGCCACGATGTTGTTGACATCAGAGGGCGTTTCTGTGTCAAATTGTCTGACGTAATAGCGATTTGCAATCAACACTGTAGGGTCCTCACCTGTCAAAGCATCATTGGAAAGTGATCAATTAGAGGTTACCATTTAGGAGTATCAGGTTTAAATGCGTATCATAACCTCCAATTCTACTGCTGCTACATTAATAATACCACATTTCTGCTTGTGTTGTTCCCTCTACTATTACTACTTCTATTACTGTTATTAATATTATTATAACTGCTATTACTGGTACTGCTACTGCTATTACTAATTTTAATGCATTCTGTGGACCTGGTAGGAGACTAAAATTGGTCCAGAGCAAAGGCTAAATAACACATCCAAAAAATTCAATCTTAAAATTCAAAGAAAACTATCACTTCCACTACCATAAAACTAATTTATAATTGTACTTTAATTTTGCAGTTTTCCTTACCAGTCGTTCTCATACAAGATCCATTCGACTGCAGTTGATATCCTGTAGTACAGCTACATATGTATGAGCCTGGTGTGTTGACACAGACTTGACTACATATTGGCGTCATCGTACACTCATCAAAATCTAAAACAAAAATGAATACATTAAAATTCATCATTAGATTTTATGTACGTCCTTGATGATTCAATCTTATGCAATACTGTTATCCATATATTTTGTTTTAATTAAGTGCTTAAAAACATAAACGCACATGTTGGAAAATTTCCATCAAAATCAATTCATTTTGTGAGATTAAAATACATTTTGCTCTTTTGCTAAAATAAAAAGGTTAATTTCAATAAAAATTGATTCCAATTTGAAAAAAATTAAAAACAAAAATCTTGTTATTTAATTTTCTCATTTTGTTTTTAGAATTCACCGAGCACAATTAATTGAAACTATACATTTTCTCTTTGTCAACAAATTCTGTATTCTCCGTCTGTCTTGATGATCTTGGTGCCAAAAATTAACCCTATTCTTGCTGAACTTTGAAACAAACTACATGTACCTTCACATGTCAAAAACTGTCCAGACTGTCAACCAATCAAAATTTGTTGTAAGACACATTTATTCAAAACTACTTTTGATGATTGTAATTTGTAGTTTTATTTGTAATTTTGTTGTCTAATATATAATTGTTTGTTAATGTATTTTATTTGTTATACCTTAGAGACTTTGGTGGAAAGCGCTTCATAAGCACCGTTTTATTATTATTATTATTTATATGTAGATTTAATTCTTACCGATACAAGTGACTCTGTCTGAAGCTAAGACAAATCCCTTGTTACACATGCACTTAAAGCTTGTTAGTGTATCAACACAGGTATCCGAACATGGTCTGTTCATCATGCATTCATCTATGCCTGAAATTCAAACAAATCATGGAGGAATACAGACATTATAATCATTTCAAAACCTATTTCAAGAAAAAGAAGAAAGAAAAATAACTTAAAGCCCCCGGCCTCTAAAGTGTTGGGAGCCCCACAAATTTTATGGCAAAATTTCACTCAAATGTTATCATAATATTATTATTTTGTTGGGCCTTGTCTTACAAAGAGTTGATATCAATCGCAACTTATTTGAGATTGATATCAATCGCAGCTATGTACATGAGAGATAGGAGAATGCAAACTTGCGATTGATTTGGATCAATCATATCTCTTTGTAAGAGGTGTGCAATATCATAATACATACAGAGCAAATATCGGAGCACCATGTGAACAAGGATTAATGCTGATATAAAATTAAAATAACAATAATTTCTTTTGTCTTACCACAGAATCTTTCATCTGAACCATCTTCACAGTGTACAGAGCCATCACACACCTGGCTAATAGCCACACATTGACCATTTTCACATGTGAACTGGTTATCATTACAGCTGGCTGCACAAAAGAATAAAGAAATATGGGATAGAGAATGCAATGTATACCACATCAAACATAGTTTCTACAGTGCGGTACAAATGACCCCCTTTTCACTGTAAATCACTGTTGATACGTGTATTATGAATATTTACATGTATACCCTAGATTATGAATGGTGAAAATCTACCCATTCTCTCCTACATGTGTAGATTAAACGTGTAGTATGGATACAGACAAAGAACAGACATTTCCAAGATGCATTAGACATGTAGTTTTCACCATGAACACAAAAATCTTGCTATATAGAGTTATTAACCCAGGCCGAGTTGTATTTAACATACAAGAGAATTCAGAGTGAATTAACATGGAAATCAAAATTGTAATTGATCACTAATGATCTCAAGGACACCTTGTTGACTTCTTCCTTATCTCTTCATATGCCAAAGAAATCATCTCCCTGTGCCACGTTGTATTCATCATATTTTGATATACCCAAGGGTTTTAAATTATTTACTGTTTCTAGTGCACGATTAATCTACAACGGTGTTAAAAGGGTTCACATGGAGCTAATCAATGGGCAGTTTTGCAAAGCCATTCTGTTGCACAAACCAATCCTTAAGTCAATAGGCCATTTTCGTAATGTAACCAAATTTAATGCATAAATCTTTGTGAAGTGCCTCAATACAAATTATTTCATTCACCTGATAAGAATAATAGTATTTCAATAGTCAGAATGCAAACTGCATATATTAAGTGTTGCTAGGTATGTCAAGCCATAATGTTTGTCTAACCTGGCAACAACTAATGTATGCAGTTCGAATTCTGTCTATTGAAATACTACTATTCTTATCAGGTGAATGAAATAATTTGTATTGAGGCACTTCACAAAGACTTATGCATTAATGCAAGGGTCACTCTGTGGCCTGGACCCACCCTCCTCAGGTCATCACCTTTCTTCACCTGAGCCAATTATTTGTAACCTCAGGGTTTCACCATCACTTCATGTGCTTTACAAAAAACAAAGGCAAAGCATCACTCTTATCAGCAAATGTGTTAGTCCAGGCTTCACCCTTTAAATTATTTGCATAGTTGATGCTTCACTTTTGTCAGTTTTACATAGGTGAGGCTTCACTTGTGTCAGTTTTCCATAGGTGAGGCTTCACTTTTGTAAGTTTTCGGCCGGTCTGAAGCTTCACCACTGTTTCACCATACTGGCCATTTGCATAGTTCAAGCTTCACCACTGTTTCACCATATTGGCCATTACATATTTCAAGCTTCACGTTTTGAAATCAAGCTCCACCAATGTTTACTTATAATAGTAGACCATGACTGCAATGGTCTATAGTCATGATAGTAATTCCATACTGCTCAATAAGTACCAAGTCAACCAGGTTTCAATTCAAAGATACAGTAACATGTTTATTTTGTCAATCCAATGTTTCTACAGATATGTTGTTATGAAACTTAAAACGTTTATACAAAAGTTGTTTTAACTACAAGTCTTGTTTTCTAATACTAACTCTTGTTTTCTAATACTAACTCTTGTTAACTATAAACACCAACTCCTGTTACCTATTAAACTCTGTTACTTGGAAATGAAAGAAAATGTTCATTCCAGACAAATTTCAGGTTTGCGTTGTTAGATTTTGACATTGTGTTCATTAAAACTACACTATAAAAATAATGAAGTTGCACAAGTGCACATTTCTTTTTATACAGGCAGTACTGTCACATTATTTTTGTAGTGTAGATAAACCAAGCTAAAACTCATTTTTGGTCTGGTTTATAAAATGTTAGCTTATCAAATTTCCTATTCACAATAGCTTGGTTACACCTCATTTGTTGTAGTTGAATTCAAGAAACTTTTGGCCGGGTATTGTACGACCACCTGATGATGGACCACACAATTCAGCCTTGCCCATAACACACTAATTATAATTGGTCCGAAACTATTCAAGCAAAGCAAACCAAAAAAGAAGTTAACTCTTCATTACCTGAGAATTTATGAAATGAGAGCATTAATTATAGAGAGTAATATGCATGATCAAAGTGTACTCAATGCTTTGCTTACTTAGTCGTGGTCACTACTATGAATAATTTTATTCACAATTTTATTTTTAATAATTATGAAAGTCTAAAAGACGATTTAATAAAATAAAAATTGTACCCTCCACGCAAGTTCCAAAGATGTTTAAATTTGTGGAGGCCTACGCCGCTACGGCCTACGCAGATACGGCCTACTAGAAATAAATATGAACACCAATTATATTAATTGGGGGGGGGATGGAAGTTTTACTATAAAAAAAAAAAAATGACCCACCTGATGGGTAAAAAATAAAATTGACCTACCTGAGTAAAAAAAAAAGAAAAATATGCCCAGCTGATGAGGACAATTACAACAGAACATTGTTGTAATGTCAATGAACCTAGTAAAATAGCCCTGTTGTTACTGTTGACTTGTTGTTGTTGTGAATTAGAACACAGTATAGTAATTCCACTGGATTACTATTATGAATGAATAATAATCAATATTACTACAGTCAACAATGTCAATTTAATTGGTTTGATCAGAGAAGATGCTTCTCTGGTTTGATACATGATACTCTATACTACTGTACTAAACTACACTACAGCCTACAGGTAAACAAAACATCAACAATATACACACAAAAAAGCTTGCGATATTGTTGTGTACAATTAAAATAATACATCATCCAATGTTTATTATTATTTTACCATGATGGATTGATGAAGATGTTTACAACAAACAATACACGACTAACACAAACCATCACAAACGTACACAGTATACAGTGCATATCCGCAGAATTTGTAAGGCTTCGACTCGAGCGCACGGCACTGCTGTGGCGTAATACCTTTGTGGAATACGTCAACATTGAAATCTCGCGAAAATATAGGCTAAGTTTTATGCACAGATTTTGTTAATAATCAATCGTAAAACAGGGTCGGAGTAGTACCGTCTCAAAATGATCGGAAAACTCTGAACTTTCTATTTTTTTTCAACTGGCTCACCTCGAAAAAACTTGGGGCCAAAACTTGGCACGATCTGCGCTGCGCATGCTGGGTACAATACCGACAGCTCGTAGGCTACTAGTCTCGTTTCCAGACTTGAGGCTGGCCTTTCAGGCACGTATACTGCGAATACTCACGCAACTAGTTATGTGTAGGAGACTAGTAGACCTAGACTACTCGAAAACGATCTCGTGAAATCTCGAAATCAGTTTCGCTGGAGAAAAGTTCGGTGACCTCAGGACGATCACTCTGCGAGTGCATGAGTGACCGGAATAAAAATTAAATAGTTGTTTTGAAACGCACGATTTCGACATGATTTCGACATATTTTCGACGCGACCGGTAGTGGCTTCGATGTCACATCACCTGAACAAACAAGGCGACCGATTGGATTCGATGTCACATCACCAGAAAAAACAAATTACTCGTCAAAGCTTCACACATTTCATCAATTTGTATAGTAAAGCTTCACCCAATGAAGAAAAAACGAACGTTAGGACTTCACTACAACAACAAATAGGTCAGGGTCAGGCTTAGGCGTCGAGTCGACGTCGATATTTGGCGACCTCTGAGGAGGGTGGGTCCAGGCCACAGAGTGACCCTTGCATAAATTTGGTTACATTACGAAAATGGCCTATTGGTGTCTATGGTTTTGTGCAAAATTGCATGTATGGCATATGAACGAAGAAAGCAATCAAAGGGTTAAGGAAGGTTACTACTTACGGCAATCACTCTCATCAGAACCATCTCTGCAATCATTGTTCCCGTCACATCTCTGACTGACTGATACACACACTCCATTACCACACTTGAACTGAGTGACTGTTGAACATTCAGGATAGTCTGAAAGGATATAAAGAATATAGCAAGCCAATGAATTATAAAATAAGAACATCACAACCAAAGCAATGAATGAAATATGAAGAACATTAATTGCAAGCAAAGCAATAGAAATGTAATATGGCAGTTTTGCAATTATATTGTTGAAAATGGCTATAGTTAGTTTAGAAACCCAATTTGAAAACATCCACACACAAAAATTCTTTTTTCATTGGTTGCTTTGTTTTAAACAGCTATATATTGTAATTTATTCTCAAAACAAAGCTTGATCAATATAATTTTTCAAATCTGTATATTGATCCCCTAAAAATCCAAGACTTCCACACTTACAACTACCAGAAATGAGTGAAATTGAGTGGAATCCAAGTGAATAAACCACTACATCACTGCATATTACACCAATAGTGAATGACTTACCACAGGCATCATGTTCATCTGATGAATCACCACAGTCATTGTAGTGATCACATTCATACATCATTAGGATGCACAGGTCATTGGCACAGGTGAATTCATTTCCACTGCATGGAATGTCATCTAAAAAAGAAGAAAAAAGGGAATAGATTCATATATATATACAGTGAAATTAAAACAATATAAAAAATATACATGAGTAAAGATCACTTAAGCTCAGGAAAGTTCAAAAATAATTCTGGTCAACTGATGAGCTCTGGTAAAAAGTAAGTTCAAATGAATCAATTGCTGTGTTTAAAAAAAAAAAAAAATCAAATTTGTACAAGAAAGATCTCATTAACAGAAGATTGTCTAGATCAGGCAATTTATGTGTTGGCTATAAACAGAATTAGTAAGGAAATGCTTATAACTGAAAAGAAAAAAAGCACAATATTAATCTCAATACACAAATACAGTGGAGTGCCGAGAGTGTCAAGTCTGACAGACATGGGCACTTTACAAGAACCCACTATCATCACTCTTATTATTACTGTTAAAACTTGAATAGTATAAAACTGAAGAGTTACATAATGGCAGCTTTTACATGTACTGTATACTAGTTATTACATCATCGATCTTACTACATACCAGGGAAGTGTTTCACAAAGACTAAGGTCGACTGAAGTTGGACTCAAATCAGGGTAGGCCCTCCTTCCATGCCACTAGTTCCTCTAACCATTCCTGGCATTGGTTTCTCAAGGGACGTACAAATCATGGTCACAAATCTACAGAATTTACATTTTTGATAGTTCATTATTGAAGGAAAAAATCTAAATATCATAATTTCTAAGGTTATTTTCCTCTAATTATACATCTGGTTCAAAACTTATTCAGGGCATAAATCGCATACCGTAATATAAGTCCAAATCTTAAATATAACTACATTATTTTTAATTTTTAAATCAAAAATCAAAAATTTAAACTCTGTAGAATTGCGAAGTCCCTTGAGACACCAATGGTGAGAGCAGCCGGTGGCATGGATGGCCTACCGTAGCTCAAGTCCAACTGTAGTCGATCTTAGTCTATGTGAAACACTCCCCTGGACTGTACATGTAGTGACTTACTTGTTCCCATGCATGTATCATCATCTTCATCTTCAGCGTATTCACACTGAGCTACACCATCGCATACTTGGTTGGTTGGTATACATCTCTCCCCGTTGAAACGCTTCACAGGACAGGTAAAGTAACCCGACCTACAAACGTGATCACCTGGAGGAAAACAGATCAATGAGAAATAAAGAAAACTTGCTTAAAAGGTCTGATCTGAATGAACTGCACCATAGTTATAATGAGTATATACATATGATCTACATACCAATATGTACTCAAAAGTGTGATATTGAGATATACAGTGTACCCAGTAGTTAACTTTAATAATAATAAGTAATCATAAAGCGTACTAACTACAGTTAAGATTTAAGACTGTAGATTTGGTCTACTGACTTCATGGAATACCAATCATCAACCATTTCATAATAAACAATATTTCAATTATTTAAACATATTTGTGGCAAAGAAAAACAATATTTCAGTACGGTAACTCAAAAAATAATGACAATAATATTCTGGATTTATATTGCGCCTAATACATCTTTGACATCTAAATCAAAGTGCTTTACAAGAATAGTATGACCCCATTCATCACAATCATGCTTGCCCTCATATAATTTATATTGTCAGCTCCACTTTCTGGTAAGCATTTCAGCCAGGCAATGCTTCCACTGCTGAACAATAACCTTTCACATCCTAACATTGTTCATTTTTATTCAATTTCATTTTGTTATAACAATCAACATTATTTTCTTGAACATGAAAGATAAACATAGGTTTGAAAAACATGACCCCAAGTTATTTTCTCTCCCTCCAAATCTCAAGTAGTCTTCCACAGGATGAAACAGAAACAATACTTCTCCCTCAGTCTGTTTACTTTCTTATCCCCTTCAAACTCAACGGTCCTTAACAGGACTATACCTACATGGTGAAACTGCAAACTGAATTGATGCTATACACAATACCATCCAAAACTGAACCTCCAAGGATCATCTGACCCAAAATTATAGACCTCTGGGGAGTTTTTCACAAAGATCATAAGTTTAACTTATCTCTAAGTTGGACTTAACAATTATGGAAAGCCATTAGCATCAATGCAAATATTTTGTAAAAGTTTTTTTTTTAAAGGCATAAAATGTTGATTCAAACATCAAGGAGATTTCATGTTCTTGATTTGGAATTTATAAAAAGTCTAAAATACTTGATTCTTCGCTTTTGAATATATTTTATTTTAAGGCTACAAACGGCTCTCCATAATTTTTAAGTCCAACTTGGGATCTTTGTGAAACACCCCCCTGGAGTAGTACTTACTGCAGTCCATGCTTTCATCTGATCCATCTGTACAATCATCGACCCCATCACACACCTTGAGATCTGAGATGCACCGACTGTTATTGCATTTAAAGTGAAGATCAGGACATTGCCAGGTAGATGTACCATCTATGGTAGAGAGAGGGTAAAGACAGGGTAAAGAGATGGTAGAGACATGGTAAAAGGATGGTGGAGACATGGTAAAAGGATAGTAGAGACATGATAAAAGAATGGTGGAGACATGGTAAAAGGATAGTAGAGACATGATAAAAGAATGGTGGAGACATGGTAAAAGGATGGTGGAGAGATGGTAAAAGGATGGTGGAGAGATGGTAAAAGGATGGTGGAGACATGGTAAAAGGATGGTGGAGACATGGTAATAGGATGGTAGAGACATTACAAGGCTAGAGTAAACATTTATGGAAAAGATTACCATGTAGTCACTCTCTCAGAAATATAGCATACATTTAATAAATTGTGTTTAATGAGTTACATAGTTATTTCTTTTGTCTCATATGAAGAAGTTGATGGGCATACAGCGGCAAACAAATGAGTGTCTTTCATGAAAAAGGTAATGTCTGTAGTATGAAGAAGGTATATCTTATATAAAAATCTATACCGGTATGTCTCCAACAAAACAGACTGTGTGTTCGTACACATGCAAAGAAGTCTATGTCTACAACAAACAACTTTATGTACATGTATTATACAAAGAAACCTGTATCTTACACGAACAAGCTTATAGAAGCTCAGTTTGGTCTCCAGACTAAGACATAATTTAAATCATCTTCTTCCTAAACCAACAGATCAGGTGAGAAGCTTTATAGTAGATTAATCAGTTTAATACAAAAACCTCCTCTTGATGGTTTTTATAATTACCTGTGCATTCTGCTGGTTCATCAGTTCTATCAGCGCAGTCATTCTGGCCATCACAAAATTTATCACCAGGGATGCATTTCTTATCAGATACACAAGAAACAAATGAGGAAGGACACGCAGTAGTGGCTGGAAAAGAAAAAAGAAAATCATCAAACCAAATGAGTCAAAAGGCAGAATGGTGTAAAAGAACAAAGCTGATGTCCATTGAAGCGAACCTTGTCAGGGAGGTACAGGTACATTGTTTAATTGTGTGTTTAGCCAGTTGATTTCTCTATTGTTTAATTCATTGGCACATAAGAAAATCTCTAGCCAGAAGACTCTAATGGAATAAAGGGCACTGATCTTATGTTTGGTATTGTTCTCTTAGCCATGCAAGTTTACTTGTACCTGTACACTTTTATTTTCATGTAAATTCTGAGTTTGTAGAGTAATTGGTACACTGATTTATGTAGTGTCAAATCTCAATCTTTTCATTTGACATTTTAAGAAAAAAGGAAATTATGCTTTTGAAATGCATCATCTTTCATTAATCTGTGTTTCATACCATGCATTAAATTTGCTCTTGAAATATATAAAGACTAAGGAAATGAATTTCATCAAACACCATGGCAACACAAATCTGTGCAGATGCCATAAATGATCATTTGTCAGTTTGATGAAACTCTAATAACAAGATTTTTTTTAATTCTCACTATATATGCAAACACAATCATTACAGCTGAATAGTTTATCACTGCATGATTAATAAAGCAAACTGAAAAGTAACAAGCCTGTACTACTGTATGTATACACATACATGCATCATAGATGCACATGTAGATGTGACTGGGATGTAATATGTCATGTACTTGTAAAGCTTACTCTTACCATAGACGTAATACCAGTTGTAGTACTGTTGTTAAAACCTTCACAACATTACATGGGTATTTATAACTTTTACTGCAAGATATCACAATTAACAGAGGAAAAAAAGTACAGTCAAACCTACTTTGGTGACTACCTGGAGAGAAAAACCAACCGTTTAGAAAGCTAGAGTGCTTGTCTATAAAAACATTTAATTCCCCTTGAGTAAAGTTTCCCTTTTTTAAAACTTGTATCAAAGGAAGTTGTACATAAAGACCATCCCTTTCCACAGACTGTTTTTTTCTTCCTTTAAACTACCATTATATTCAGGTTTCACTGAACTTTATATCAAGCATGCCATACATTACTCTTTTACTGATTTGTATCTTCCATGGGGGGGGGGGGGGGGTACTACTTTCAAGATTATTAGTAATGAATTCTTGACATTGAAAACAATCAATTGCAAGTTCTAGAGTATTATTAATGTTATGTTTTATTTTTACTCTTTTCAACTACTACATGAATTGATCTGCACTTCATGAAGATCTTTTTTTCTTTCTCCAAAGATATATATATAGTCTACTGCAGTCAGACCTGTCTATAGCGACCGCCCAAGGGAAACACAAAAAGTGGCCTTTGTAGACAGGTTCCTTCAGTACATGATTCAATGAGAAACCCATTTTCAAGGGAGACAACAAATGTGGCCTATGTAGACAGGTGGTCTTTGTAGACAGGTGGTCACTAAAGCAGGTTTGACTGTACCTACATTTTAAGATGGACGGCATCTTTTAGAAACTTACCACAAAAGTTTGCATCTTCATCTGAATTGTCTTCGCAATCATCTTTGCTATCGCATCGCCAGGAGGGGTCAATGCAGAGGTTGTTTTGTAACCCAGGGCAATGCTCATAATCCGCACGGCAAGGTGTTCGAATCGCTGGATTGGGCAAGAATTATTGGGTTATTACATGTGTATGTAGAGCATTCAAATAAGATGTTAAAAGATTAAATAGAGGATAAAGAAAATTGGGATTGAGTGTAATGATTTATTCAAAAGAGGGGAGAAAGATAAACACAGAAATGAGAAAACAACCAAGGAAGAAAATTAGTGAGAGATGGTGAGGAGGAAAGATAGCAACGAAAGAGAATTAAGGGGATAGAAAATGAATCTGTTTTCTGATCGTACATGTACATGTACGTGACGTCAAAACAGAGAATCCTTATAAATTCACATTGTTTGTGGCAGAATCATTGGGCCATGGCTTCCTGGGGTTCTTGAATGATTATCTCATGAAGTATTGATGGGCACATCTGAACAGTCAGAAAGAAACCATACTTTGGTTTTGGCACAGTCTTATGATTAGATGTGCAAACTGAAATTGTCAACTGCGAAAGAAAATTAGGACCCTAGTATGGTCATTCCTACCGTGACAGTATACTTGTTTTACCTGTTTTTAAAAAGCAACCTACCACCTACTGGTAACATGCAGCCAGCCAGATTTCATAAGGCAAGCTAAAATTACATGTATTAAGTAAAAAGTAGATAAAGTGCAGTTTCTTGGTTATGTTTTAATCTTATTAGATGGATGCATACTGCTCCATCCCTGTCATGTCTTAGTTTGCTTGCTTGTTTCCTTTGCTTGTTAAAAGCCAATCTTACATGTACTTAAATCTATATGCTTCTGAGTTTGATGAGAAAGTAAATATTGGGAATAAGAACAAACAGATTGCACAATTTTATTCATGGAAACAGATATATTGGAAGCAGAAGGGTATGTAAATGCCCTCAAATTTGACAAAATGTTCCATTGTCCCTGTATGTTGACCTGGAATGCCCATAATGTTTTTAGTACTGTGGTATTCCATGATCTCCAAACAATATTGTTTTTATATTTCTTACCCCTTAAACAAACTAATTAATCACCATCTGTCTAGAGTATCAGGAATTCCACTGCTAATGCTCTTTTGCAACACCCGTCATACTTCTGACAACTCCAAAGTACAATATTACTTTGATAAATCATTACATTCCGTCCAGATCTTTAGGTTCTCAAAACTCCACAAACTTCCTGTTCTTCCAATAAAGCTAACTGGGAGGAAAGAACCTTTGCTCATGCAGCACCGGCCTTCCCTGCTAAATGCTCTCCCTCAAGAGAGTTGTAATAAACACACTGCATCAGTTGAAGTGTTTTAAAATAATCTTAGCACGTATCTGTATAATTTGGCATATAATTAATTGTTCTGTAACTTTTTAATGTTCTATCTTACTTTTGTTCATTGCAGATGCTTTTATGTGTTTTTGTTTTCTTCACAAGTGCGCCTTGAGCATTTGATATCAAGTGGATTCATCATTATCATTATTTTGTTTAATTATTATTATGATTATGATTATGATGATTATTATTATTATTATTACTATCATTACTTTCATAATCATCAATAAAATCATTATTATTATAATCATCATCATTATTATTATTATCATTTGATCTGACTTACAACAACTGAGTTCATCATCAGCTCCAGGACAGTCAGCTACTCCGTCACATCTTCTGGATGATTCGATACAAGTCCTAGACATTACACATTCATACTGCATGCCATCACACTCACTATGCACTGTAATAAAAAAGAAAATAGAAACAAAGAAGAATTCAAAGTTAAAGACTAAAAGTACACTTGCTATATATTATCATATGTGTATGCAATGATACCCAAGTAAAAGAGCAGAAATAGTATGAATATATATGTAGTATATAAGTATTATATATTAGTATGAAGTATAAAGAATGTAAAGATAATGAAAGCTAAAGTATAGATTTGAAACTTGTGTAAAAAGAAGAACTATTTTCATTTCATCTTATTTGGTAATAACATCTTCCCAGGGATTGATGGTAATGATTATAAACAATCAACAACAGAAAAACAACAGAGAAATCTAATAATATGATATGTTTCTTTGTTTTTGCCTCAGGGGAATACTACTATTTTGATAATATTTTCCCCTTGTACAGGTATATAAAATAAACACAAAGATATGAGTAGGAAACATTACTACTGGGTATGATTAAAATGTTAGAGGAGGATCAGACTGAAAATTCTCTAACCAGCTCTGATCTATTTTTTATAGGGGGGGGGGGGGGGGGGGGACTGAAAATGACCACTGTGTAAACAAAAACAAGTTATAATCACTTTGAATGCACAATTACAAAGACGGGGTAAGCATTTCTTAGGTCGAATTTCGATGGCTATTCATTTTATTTTCATATCACAAAGAAAAAATATTGGTGTCTATAAATAGGGTAGAGAATCAAGCTGTTTTTCTCCCAACTCATTGCGTGCCCTTGAGACGTACACAATGCATGGCTAACCCAGAAAAGGTTTGTAACTGTAACAGATCCGTTTGTCTACTCCAGTCTGCATATCCATTGTCCTACACAGAATATTATATCATGACCTTTTTTTCATTGGACATTATGGAACAATTTAACACATATACAACAACCTTGTTCTATATATTTTTTCATTGATATTGATAAATTTGTTTAATTAATGGTATAGTGAATGCCAGCAGAAAAAACTAATAATTATGAGGAAAAAATGGAAAGGAAAATGTTTCATGACAATGAACCAGGTCCATTCATAACAATTAAAACTAGATGGAATTCGACTGCGCGCAGTCGAAAATGATGCCTCCGTTATAGAGCAATTTTACAAACCAAAACAAATTGAATTCACGTTCAATGGTAATCCATTGACAGGTTCTCAGAATATTGTGATTACAAGCAATTTCTCATATACATATATGACCCTTTGATCTTTGACCTCATGACCATAAAATCTACTCAGTTCATTGGCTCTGCAAGATGTTCTGAGTTAAATAGTAATCCATCTGTCAGTTCTAATGAGAATGCGTTCACAAGCTATTTTTGCATACATAATGGGCCCATGACCTTTGACCTTTGACCTTATGAACCAAGAATCTACTCAGTTCATTGGCTCTGCAAGTAACAAACATGACCTAATTTTGGCATGAATCCATCAATCGGTTCTTGAGATAACGCGATCACAAGCTGTTTTTGCATTCATAATGTGCGCTGTGGCCTTTGACCTACGTGCTCCAAAATCTAATCAGATTGTCTTCCTATGGTGATACACACTATCATTAAGTTTGAAGTTTTTACATCTCCAGTGGTTCTTGAGATATCATGATAACAATCTCAATGTATGGAATTTCATAAGTTGACCTCTGTGACCCTTGACCTTTGACCTACGTGCTCCAAAATCTAATCAGATTGTTTTCCTATAGTGATACACACTATCACTAAGTTTGAAGTTTAAATCTCCAGTGGTTCTTGAGATATCATGATAACAATCTCAATGTATGGAATTTCATAAGTTGACCTCTGTGACCCTTGACCTTTGACATACGTGCTCCAAAATCTAATCAGATTGTTTTCCTATAGTGATACACACTATCACTAAGTTTGAAGTTTAAATCTCCAGTGGTTCTTGAGATATCATGATAACAATCTCAATGTATGGAATTTCATAAGTTGACCTCTGTGACCCTTGACCTTTGACATACGTGCTCCAAAATCTAATCAGATCGTCTTCCTATGGTGATACATACTATCCTTAAGTTTGAAGTTTAAATCTCAAATGGTTCTTGAGATATCGCGCTAACAAACTCAATACAAGGAATTTCATAAGTTGACCTCTGTGACCTGTGACCTTTGACCTACGTACTCCAAAATCTAATCAGATCGTCTTCCTATGGTGATAAATACCAATCCCGAGTCTTAAGTTTAAATCTTAAATGGTTCTTGAGATATTGTGATAACGGTCAAACGGGACGGACGTACGGACGGACGTACGGACGGACGGACGGACGTACGGACGGACGGACGTACGGACGGACAACCCGAAAACATGATGCCTCCGGCACCACCTTCGGTGGCGGAGGCATAAAAATGGCTATTCAGAATAGTGGTCATGCACACAGAAAAAAAACTGACTAGATTTGAGGAAATTCTGTAAGTGAGGTCAATTTAGATGCTGACAAAAATAACAAAATGAGCCTTTAAATGATTAGGATGAAATATAGCATGACTCAAACTGCCGATAAATTGTTTACGTTTCAAAGGTATTGTTCAGTCAACATTAGAATACATGTATGCCAATTATTCTATCTGGTTTAAAACCCTCCATACAAATAGAATCTTAAATATTTAATTGCATTATTCTGAATCATTATTCCTGAAATCCTGTGTTCAGGGAAAACTTTAACAATCAGTATCTTACAAGTTCAAGAGAAACCCCACAAGAAAAACAAACATCCTGGATCTTTGCAAATATCCATTTTGACCTAATATTTTCAATGTAATTAAAATAAGTGATTAAATGAAGAAGGCAACCACAATTTCCCACTGATATTTGCTACTCAAGAGAACTGCCCACGTTTAGTTTTCAGTTGCTCACACAAAGGAACAATAAGTCAATATTTTCCAAAGGTTGAGCAACAACAGAGGCCATTTTAAGGGGACTTTTATTCTCTAGCTTCTCAAGATGCTACATGTAATATATCAATGGGAATACCCTTAAAAACAATTTCTTAGTAGAGAAGGACAGTGCATGAATGTTCACCAATTTTTCTTTAATGATTAATAAAACCTGTCAATTTATTTGTAATGATAAAGAGATCACATTTCTTTAAACCAGGCGTACCTCTAGAGCTAGCAAAATATATAGGTATATGATACATGTACATGTACAATGTAGCTGCAATGGGAAATGGTAGCAATTAGGCTCTGAAAAACTTATTTTTTTTAAAGTTTGATTATCAAAATGATTATAATGATTATTACTCTTTTTAAAACGTATTATCATTATTATCATCAGTACTATCAGTATATTATTATCATTACTATTACATCCTTTTCAACAGGACAGCATTTAAATAAACATGCAAGAGGAGGATGCTGCCCTGTAGATGTCTAACAAATGTTTTGGAAATGCCTGATGAGTTCATGGTGATATTTTGGCACAATATTTGTTCATCCACTTTAATACATGTACATGTAAATAGATGTTTATCATGCATAACCCTCAACAGTAACCCCTCAATATTTGTACATGACATGTAGACATACATATATGTACAGCTGTAGCTAATGTTGTATACATTTTTTCCTATTTTTTTTCTCCTGGGCAATATTCATAAAGGTGATATCATTGCCTATTTTTGTAAAGAGTGGGTAATGTAGCTCTACTACATGTTGGTGGCTTACAAAGTCCAAAAAACCTAGACACTCAAGGCAAGGAAAATGTACCGTGACTATTTACTTGCTATTATTTGTGACTTATAATCCTACTCCTCTAATAGTCCTACAATCCTTGGAAAGCATGAATATCCTTGTGGCCCCGCTTGTTTCACTTTCAAATAATATGCTGCAATGTGTACATGTAGAGGTGTCGGGGTCGAGTGGAAACTCACCAGACTGTAGATCACAAGGTCCACGGCGGCACTAATGTCCTTTGGCAAGACATTGATCTACATTTGCCACATTCGACCCAGGTGATGTAAATGGGTAACAGGCAGGAATTAGCCAAAAGAAGATCCCTCTAATCTGGGCTGCAGTATAATGATTATGTCCACTCTGACATCAATTTGAAATTTATAAGATGAAAAAATGAGGAAGAAAATTGGGACAATGAATATTTGAGAAAGAATACCAGTATGTTCCCATTGATGATTTGTTTACACTAGTATGAGTCACTATGAGGATATATTGGAGAAAACTTGAAATCTATAGCATCTTGTTCATAGAAAGAATAAGAGCTTGCAAAGGAAATAATATAATTACAAATTGCAGAACTTTTACCATCTTACCATGATCTTCTTTTTCTATACTTTTTTCTAGAACTTCACCTTCACTGTACCTTACATGTAACACTAAACATAGTCTAAGACTCTATAATAATACAATTGAAGTACTGATGTTTAGCAATGCCCTGAGCAAGCACAAACACAATAGGCCATTCTACATTGTAGTGCTGTATTGCCAATGCTTGCCTGCTGCATCTATCATAAAAGCTCCAGGTTCCCCCGCAAAGATGGTACAACCTGGTACTGCAATGATGTCAGCAAAAACCAGGGTAAAAGGTTGTTTTCATAAATAATTTTTTCACTGTTCAAGGTGTTACGCTTGGACTGTTCATAAATGGTTCCCAGGAATGAGATCTTGTTTTGGGGGCAGTTCAAATATGTTTGTTTCTATTAAAATCAATGGAGTATGCAAATTAATAATCACTGCATTAAGAACACTATTCTCAGATTCTGTTAACACTTTGAGCAATATGGCATTGTTCACATTCAGACTATTTACAACAATCAGTGGCAGAGATGAAACTGATAACAAGTATAAAGATATTTTTGGCTGAAACCAATACCCGGTATTGTATAAAATCAAGTACTATTACTTTTCTTTTATCCAAAGTAAAGTGAACAATATGAATAATATCATCCAATCATTCCAATGTTTTCTCAAATTTATAGAATCAATGCAGTACATTACAGCCAACATATACAGTACATGTAGTTATTAATATTTAAAAAA